CACAACTGACTCCGCAAAATGCCTTTACTTAAAATACCTTTGCTCACGGAAATCTTCAGTAATTTTACATATGAGCTGAGCCTCGACCTCCAACTGAGTGGAGTTTTTCACACCAAGAGAACAACCGCAAAACACCCTAAATGAATACGCTTCACAGCGATATAAACTAACATCCTCTGCCTGCATATCATCAGCCTGTCAGTGTGTACCTCTACTCCCCTGTGCTCTGACAGTAAACTATGCCATTTTAGCAGACGGCCAGAAGTTGTACTGTCTTCTGGGTTTTGCTTAGAAAAAAACCCTAACCAGTTCTTAATGACCTCTTTTATTATCACTCCACCACTACTCTTCACACCTGCACTCAAGAATAATATTTACCCTGTCTGTCATCATCACACGGTGGATGTGTGTCTTCCTGCCTTTGTGTCAGGGTCTAATGATGACTACCATTCTCCGCTTCTCTCAGGCGTCTTATTAGAGAGGGGAGTAGACACGCTCTGTCTGTGTGAAATAGGTCTTTCTCAGGAAAAGTGGGAGCAGAGGGCTGAATACCGGCAAAAAACCCAAAGCTCCCTGGTCAGTCATAATATATCAATTAGACACAACTTGAATGCAAAAGCATGCCCTTTCTGTGTGTGTGTGTTTATGTGTGTTTGTGAGGACTAAAAATTGGATTGCTACTGTACTTGTGGGGACCAACAGTCCCTATGGGGACAAAATGCCCATCCCCATGAGTTTGAAGGCATTTTTGAGCCTCAAAATGTGGTTTTAGTATCAGGGTTACAATTAGGTTATGGTTAGGTTCAGGGCAAGGGTTAGGGTTAGTGGCAACAGAAAGCATTATGTCAAATATATGTCCTCCCTAAGATATAAAGACAAGTGTGTGTGTGTGTGTGTGTGTATGAGTTGAGATCAGTTAATAACTGAGTCGGTGCTGTGGGTGGGGATGTGTGATGAATTTGGGTGGAATGCTGCACTGATCTTGTTGTGAGCCACAGTGTGATCACTTGCATTTGGAAAAACAAGAGTTAAGTCACTCACACACATGCACACACACACACACACCCCTTGAGAGTTTAAACAGAAAGAGGGGGAAAAGAGGCAAAGGGAGGAGTGAGAGAACGGAGGGAGACGCCAGTGTTTTCAGTCTCTGTTTTCAAACTTTGAGAAGGCTTGGGAGTCATTTGTAATGAGAAAGACAACAACTGGATCATGATTCTTCTCAGCTTTCACCCATGAAAAGATCAGCACAGCGGGATTTTTGGATGCAGATGCATCTCCATGCATTTGCTACACCCAGTTTTTTTTGCGTGAAATTTGATGTGCCTGTGTGTCGTAGCAATGTTTTATAAGCTTTCGAGATTTTGATGGGAAAATGCAAACTCGGATAAATGCTGGTGCACCGTGGGAGCTTGTCTGCTAAACTGATTTGCCAGGCTCATTCACTGTGTGTTATTCCAGCCCCTTTTTCAGTGTTGTATGTCAGTTGTTGGCATTTTAACAAAGCCATCTAACTCAAATGGTATCATTTGTGACAGACAGAGTTCTGGCAATAGTCAGATGAGATGGATATCTTTAAAGGTCCCAAAGGATCCATCACATTTAAAATGCACAAAGTAAGCCTATATTTTTTGGCATGATTAAGCTTAGTGAGAATGGGGCAAATTTTCACTAAAACTGCAACCGTTTCTTAATCATAATGAAATATTATCCTAAAATTAATCAGCAAGTGAAAACAAAATGAAACAAAGGCAAACAACAGACAACTCTTCTGGCTTTTAAAAAGTGGCTGTTACCTTTTGGCATCCAGTATTGCAGTGGGCAGCGAGTCAAGAGCCTAAGCAGGTTCTGGCAGAGTGGCATCATTTTATGTGAGATCATATAATGTGATGATATGATGCTGATGTCTGAATTTTGATTAAACATGTTGACCACTCGTGCTTTTCTGTTCACAATGAACCTCGAGCTAGCAGTTTGCTTACTGTAGAGATTATGGATTTTCCCAGCACTTGGTTTTCTCATACAGCTCTGAGCAATAAAAGAAACAAATGTGTTTATATGAATTGTTATTTCATACAGAACCCATTCTCAATGCAGCATTTTGCCCGTGTGTTGTTTCTATTTGAATGTTACAGTCATGTGAAAAAGAAAGTTTTCACATGACTGTATCCAATCCTGTGAACATCCAAGTTGCTCACTTACTGCTCCCATATGATGTAAGTAGGTAAGTAGCAGCCAGGTGTTGATAATTAAATGACTGATCATCAGCAAGCGTGAGCACCTCTATAAAACTGGAAGTTTTAGCAGCTTGCTGGTGTGAAGCATTCAGGTGTGTGTTAACACAATGCCACAATCTTCCCAGGAGTCGTTGTCTCAGCACATTCACTCTGAGGTCAGAACATGTGATGCTCAGAGAATTGCAACAAAACAACGAGCTAGATCTCAGATTCTACAAGCTTCAGTTGGTCTGTTAAATGTTAAAGTTAATGATTATAATTAGAACAAAAAACTGAACAAAGTACTGCTTCTGTGGAAGAGTTGCCAGGAGAAAGTCTCTCCTCTACAAGATCATGGCTGCAAAGCTCAGGTTTGCAAAGTTGCATTTGAACGCAAGTTCTGGAACAACAAGACCTAAATAAAAATGTTTGGCCAAAATATACAGCACCACATTTAGCAAAAACCAAACACAGTATATCAGCACAAGCATCTCATACCAACTGTCAAGCATGGTGGTGGTGGAGGGGTGATGATTTTGGCTTGTTTTGCAGCCACTAGACCTGGGTGCCTTGCCTAATTGACCATCAACTTCTCTGTGTGCCAACGCATAGTACAGTCGAATGTAAGACCATCTGTCCTAACGCTAAAGCTTGACTGAAATCGAATCATGCAACATCCGAAGCACAGAAGGGACTCTATAACAGAATGGCTGAAAAAGAAAAGTATCAAAGTGTTGCAATGGCCCAGTCAAAGTCCAGACTTCAACCTCATTGAAATGCTCACACACACCTCAATGAACTGAAGCCATTTAAAGAAAAGTGCCCCAAAATTCATCCACATCAATGTGAAACGCTGATAAAGTCATAAAGAAAATGATTGCTTTGAGTCATTGCTCCTAAAGGTGGTTCTACAAGCTACTGAATCATGCAGTCTAGTTCGTTTTGAACAGGATTATAAAGAGTCATACGAAAACTTTCTTTTTCATATGATTGTAGATATTAGAGAAAAAAAGAGTTGTCCTCTTTCTCACAGCTCATCACACAACCCACAGACTTACCAGCAAAATACCAACATAACTGTACACGTATATGCACTATATCCATTTATAAAAGCATGTGAGACATAAAAGGAACAATACATAAGGTTCTTTTTCATTAAACTAAGTTTGACTCTCTTACAGCCTAAAGCTCTGAACTCTGCATTTGAGCTTCTTTTGAATCACTTTTTGTATTTCTCAGATTAATTGCATCTAAAATGAGTTCCTACTTGATGTTGCAACAGTCAACGGCTTGAAGGAAATGACTCATGGGAATTACAAGAAAGTACTATTTCTCATTTGCAGAACTTCGCTGACATTGACTTTTTAAAGATATTTGTGGGAGAGGTGCCACTGAAGTTAACACTTCGCAAAGGCATAATAAAGCAGAGGGCTGCTGCCTCCACAATGCCTGCTCATGGCCCCTGAAAAAAGGAAGATTCGGTGCACTCTTTTTAGATATGACTACACAAAGCACACGCCTTATATTATATCTTCATAATAATTTGGCTTATTTCATGAATGTACAGTATTGGCATCAAATGAAATGCAGAAAGAGGAAAACTGCGTAATATTTTGCAATCCTTTTCTGACTTAAGAAGCCAGTTGAACCCTTTTTTCTCTTGTATTGAATACTTTATATTCTAAAAGAAAAAAGCTGACATTGACGTTGTTTTGACACAAAAGACAAGTGTAAAATGTATTATACATAAACACTCAAATGGCTTTCTGCATGTTGCGTTTTAATTATTCTTGTTAATACTTTTTTTTGGTGGGGTTTTTTTTCAGCATGACGTAGTTTAGAGTTAATCCTTTGAGTAAAGTATGAAAAATGTAATACCAATTAATTTTGATTTAGCGAGTGATAGATTTGCAAATGGAAATGGGGAAAAACAAATCCAGCACAAAAGCCACCACTGAGATGTTTTCCCTAATTTATTGTTCGTGGGGCTGTGTTGAGATCCCCTGCAAAGTGTAATGGATCTCAATTCACTAATAAATGCATTTCCTCTCAACATACTCAGTACTGTCTTTATTATCACAGAGGACAGCAAATGCCCCGTTGATGGAGATCTTAGAGGCCCACTGGCATCTCTTGATGTGTCTTTGCTGCCATCTAGTGGCCACAGAGGCTAACGCTGGTGTAATAAAATTTCGGTACTATAGGGGTCACTGTGAGGTCATTTTTCACTGTTTTGCTAGTTTTTAGAGGCCACTTTGGATTAGTGTGGGAGCGAACGTGCTCTTTGCTTAATGACCACTAGATGTCAGTAAGTGACTTTGCTTGGTGATCAGGTGCATTATTTGGAAGTGCTCGCTCATCCCCTCTGTTAGCAAAGAAGATGCAGACACCCATTTTTGTGAACAAGCTTGAAAGTCACCAGTGCCTCCTCACTCACTGAATCACATCCATTTACATTTTTTTCTGAGGTTATTTTAGTACAGTGCGAGAAAACAAAACAAAAGGCAAGATGTGAATAAGGGAGGAAGTTGATGAAATGCTTGTGATTACACTCCAGTGTCATTAACTGCTCAGATCCCCCCAAATTTGGGAAGTTTGGTAAATCCTGCCCAACAGGATTTAGAAACTACACGTGTGTATGTGTGTGTTTTTACACTGTTGAGCCTGAGACAGAGAATTTTTCTTCTGCTTCCAGGGGCCAGCACTGGGGGCTGGACAACACCTCTCTTACACTCTTTGCCCTACTCCCTCCCCACCCTCTTCAACTTGCCATCCATCCTGTGGGCTGTGCACACAGCACCCCCGACCTCCCCTCTTCCTCCTTCTTCTCTGACAGCTTTGCTCCACCAGCTCTGCACTGTGCCGGCCTTGAGAGGAGTAAGGGAGCAGAAAGAGGCACTAGAAGAGAGGATTTGCTCAACCGAGGAGAGACGGACAGGGGAGAGGGACCATGGCTGCTCTCTCTGCCTTGCTGAAGACCTGGGTTATTCTGCAGACCTTGTGCCTGGTTTTGGCTCAAGTGGTGAGTGGCACAGAAGAGCTCAAAACTTGATCGGGGCTCAAGGGTTCAGGGGGTAAGGGCCCTCGGTAAGGGTCCAGTCGGCTATGGATATCTTCAGGTGATCTTGTAGGTTTCGTGCCATCTTGGGCTGGATGAAGGGATTAAATAACCACAGCATGGAAGCAAGGATATAAGTGTGATGAGTACACAGCTTTATAGAATGAATGTAGAAGAAAATGATTTTCAGGGGTGGAAGCTATCTTGTGGATCTTTCATGGATCACCCTTATCGTACACGGACTCTTAGGTCTTTCTAACCACGGCGCCCCCTCTTTTTTAAGGCACGGATTCATCATTACCTAGGCTACCTTTACAGGGGCCAAGAGGAGCACTATTTAACCAAGAATGATGGGATTTATTTTTTCAGTTTTTTGGGGGTCAAATCTTTGCAGCCATGCCAGATTTAAGGGGGGGAAAAGTCAGTGTGCACTGACACCGACACACAAACTTTGTCCACTGAGCGTGAAAGCTGTTATTCAAACAGACACCTACACGTTATCTTCTGGACTTACAGGAGTTTTCACTTTCAAGGATCATTCTGTGTTTTGTTTTGGGGGTTTTAACACCTGAAGAATTCAAAGTGGGATTTATTCTTTTATCACTTGATGGACTGACCCTTGCAATAAAATGTTGTTCAAGACAGGCAGTAGGATGGAGAAGGAGGGGGGTGGGTTGGGTGGGGGTAAACAGTGCCAGTCTTTTAGCCCTTCCTCCCACATTCCTCCTCGATCCTTTGTGTTTACCTCCTCAAAGATGCCAGTTTTATCATGTAATTTTTGTTGCAATGCTCCATGTTAAACTCACTCGGCTTTCAGAGTTGCCCACCTTAACCTGCAGTAACCACTCCGATATTTGGTTCTATGATGGAGGGTTAGGTTATATTTCCTTATTTGGGAAAATAAAACATACATCAAATGTGTTTTCATTTTTATAAAAATCCATGAAAATTAATATCCACTATGATATTACAATATATATTTAACATCTGTTAGTTATATATTCCACAATGATACTGCATCCTGATTGTTGCTACAGGCTACTGCACAGAGTGAATTAGTAAATGTTGCTGTTTGACCTTTTTTCCTCTCTGTCTGTGTTTCAGAGGGGTCCACCTGGACCTCCGGGCCCGCCAGGCCCACCCGGCCCCTCTGGCACTCCTGGGTCAGATGGCATTGATGTGAGTATCCACACAGGTTTGCCAAATAGGTTTTCCCACAAAGCTCCTCATTGTGCTGGAGAAATACCAAATCAGGAGGTGTGGCGCAGTACTGAATTCATACCAGCAGAGAGCGCTGCAAATGAAAACACCGGCACAAAAGAGCTCTGTTCCCAGCAGAGAGAGGGGTCTTTGAGAAGAGATCCTTGCCTCAGACCCGAGTTTGGGTCACAGTAACGTGATATGTGCGAGTTACTCAAAGGGTTAACAACAGGCAAAGTTGTGTAAATGTGTTGGAAACAGAAGCTGCTCTAGAGCAGTGTGGAGATAGCATGCTTTATGGCTCAATACCAAATCAAATGTAAAAAGTCTCTTTTTTTATTAGCATTTTAGCCAAAAAACTATTTTTAAAAGGCTCTTTATCTATCAATAAACGGTGTCAGTCTAGCATGTTATTAAACCTGTCACTCTTTGCTCACTCATCCAAAGGCTTAACAGTGGGATCAAAGCCTGATAGAAAACGCAGCCAGTGTAGACACACTTCAGAGTCCATCTAAAGATTGCTTATAATGTCAACACTGGAGCAACTGATTAACATCTGCCCGTGCACTTCTCTGTGCTCAGTACAGTATATATTTATGTGGCACATTTTTCTCATGCTGTCTCGTGAAATTTGCGACGTGATAAATCTTCCTAAATTCATTTCTATGAGGCGATGCGTAGCAATGAAAGGCATTTAGGTGATGAATATGATACAGTTGTGAACACAAAGGTGTAACCATGGCGTGTACTGTATGTTTAGTTGGGTTAACACATGCCCTTTGTCTATCTGCAGGGAGAGAAAGGGCGTCCCGGGTCACCTGGCCCACCAGTAAGTCTGTACTGTCACGGTGCCAGTTTAATTTTGCAGCAACTTTAACTTGTGATTTACTTGAACACGGTTTTTACGGTGTGGATTTTGCTGTAGGGGCAGAAGGGAGAGCCAGGAGAGCCAGGTCCTGACGGATCACCCGGGGAGAATGGCATTGATGTAAGTAAACTGTGTGCAAGAGAGAATGAAAAAAGGAGAAAAACTTTTAAAAATATTGCTTCCAGATTTTGAACTTCAATTTTGAAACGTATTTTCACAAGTTTTACAGCTTTTCCTTCAGACAAACACCTCCTCCATGGCCATTCATACGATGCCAAAGTAATTAAATGATAGATTTCTGTAATTTTGTGCATTTACTTGTTACAACTCAAGGCCAAAGAGTCATGCTGACAGGGTTTTTTCATTTACTACAGCAGCGTTTCTTTATCATGAAGAAAAAATGAGACATACTGTTGAAATTGTGCTTCTTTTTCATATATTAAGATATCCATTGATTAAATGTGTAGTTAGATTTCTCTACATTGACAGAAAGGGTAGCTTCACTGATGTAAGAGCAAAACGGGTTGTTTGTGGCCTGCGATGTAAAATAAGTTTAACATCCCTGCACTAGAGGCTCAGTCTTGTTTGTTGTCCTATATCCTGGATGATCTTTACAACATGCTATGTTTGTGATAGCACAGTCTGAGCACCCACAGGTCAGTGTTTTGTAGCCAGGATATCAGGTTCAAAGCTACTACCAGAAGTTTTAGGACTACATTTCACAAACTCAATCCCTCTTCTTTGCTTTTAATATGTTTACCTCCATGCAACCACATCACGCTAAAATATGACTAGATAATAAAATACGCACTACAAGTGGTCTGTAAAAAGAAACCAGAAAGCTTGATTTTGTTGTACCTCACAGATTATTCATTTTTTTATCCAGGTATCTGTTTTAACAGTGCTGAAAGGGGCTGGTTAATATTATTATTTTTTTCCTACATATTTACACCAGGTTTTTCCCCAGCTTTCCACAGAGAACATGAAACCTATCGAGAGTGGAGTTTGTCCAATTGTCATTGGAATAGATCAGTTTACATAAGAGCTTAGAATATTAGTAGGTGTTGATGACGTTAATCTGGTCTATATACTACACATTACTTGTTTTGCTCATGTATGTTTGTTTTAACTATAAAATAAGAGGCATATTATTATGGCATTGCAAGTCCTAACTACTGCCACTGTGCAGAGACAGAGACTCGTATATAACTGTGTCCTAGCTTTTTCAATTTGAGTTGCTGCTTCAGATGGAACTTGAGCATCAGTGCCAAACGGTCACATGCTAACAGAAGCACAAACACACACACACACACACACACACACACACAAACACACACACACACACACACACACACACAAAACCAGGCATTCCTCAGAGGTTAAGCCAGTAATCTGCCCCGGAATCTCAGTCTCAGGTTTGTTTCCCAATTACTTACCTGAACCAAGTCAACTTTGATTAAATGTGAGGTTAACCCTCCTGTGATGTTAATTATGTTTCATTTGTGACGGTTTTCAGTATATACTGCATAGCACATCTACCCGATTTCATTTCTTTCTGTTTGCCTCCAGGGTTTGATTGGAGCAAAGGGTGACCGAGGTCCTATCGGGAGACCTGGACCAAAGGCAAGTGTCTAAACCTTAACCTAAAAAGATTATTAGTGCAAAATCACAATTGTGCTGCTGTTCTGTGTGAAATCTGTTTGTGCTGCTGGTGGAATACTCTGAAAGGTTCAGATTTATAGAAATATAAAATCTCTGGGTAATGTTCCCTATGCCCTGTCACTGTGATGTTGAGAATGACGTCGAACTCCTGCTTGCAGGGGAAAGCGTGAGAATCGCTGTGTTGTTAAGGACTTTCTTTCATTCATCCTGGTGTGCTGTTTTCATTTCAAAAAGATATTGTCATTGTCATCTATATGTGTAATAATACCACAGTTAACCATCACAGATATGTTACTGATTTCTGTTGTTTGCAGGGTCAACCAGGTCCAACTGGTGAGCCCGGAACTCCTGTGAGTAAATCAATTTTTAACTGTCACTTTTTTTGGTTTTTGCAAACATTTTAAAAGAACTTAATATACAAAATGTCAACTCTAGTTTTCTGACAACTGCAGTTACAATGTAGCATCATAAACTGTACACAACAAACAGACACCATCACTTATTTCTTTGCATTTTACAACCCTGAGGTTTTGACTTTCCCATCCTATGAAACCATTTCTCCTTTTTGTTTTAGACAGAGAGAGTAGCAGATAGGGACTCATGACTCGGTGTAGTTAACAGGTGCATTTCTAATTCACTGTGGGAAAACAGAATGCCAGTTCCAGGTATTAAGACACAGCCTATTCAAAGAGAAGCTGAATAGCTTACCCCTTGAAGCTTATTTATATTGCTGTGGGAAATCTTTGTAAAGCAGATATAATCTGCTTAAGTGGCCATTGCCAGCTTGCACCATTGGGCATTATATATTAATTAACTTGTGATCACATCTTGGTGTTTTTTTTCCCCCTTCATGGGTTCCTGATCTTTGTTGTGGTCGTCGTGTTTTTCCGATTCTTCACATTGATTCCAATAATTTTAGCGATCTCCCTTTAGGATTTGTTTACATCTGTAATTCCGCATATGGAGGCTATCATCATCATCTTATAATCAGTGTTGGGAAGGTTACTTTTAAAATGTATTCCATTACAGAATACAGAATACATGCCCCAAAATGTATTCTGTAACGTATTCCGTTACGTTACTCAATGACAGTAACGTATTCTGAATACTTTGGATTACTTAATATATTATCATGCTTTTTACAACAACGTGAATGTACTATTGCTGTGTGATTCATTACTGTTACTGAAGGTCCGCGACTCCGAACTGTAGTAAAGGGACCTCTGACTAATACGGCGGGGTCCCTGTCGGCTCGTAGCCGAAAAATAGCTTTACTTTGTTGTGTGGGTCAACTTTTCTTGCGAGAGACAGAGAGAGGCGTTGAAAGACTGCTCCAACGGAACTTATTGTTTTCGGAGGAAAACACGAACACGGTGTACAGTCGAGTCTTAATAGCTTACTTACAACTGGGCTCATCAGGCTCTCTTCTTGGCTGCAGTGGTTATTATTATATTTACATGCTTCCAGCTCCCGTTTTTTCTCAATGACAACTCGTACCTTTCCATTATCCTTTTTTCTCCCTCCTCGCGCTCACAGACCCATAACGTGTATGGCAGTCCATTCTCCCTGCAGCACGGACTACACTGCCCATGATGCTACATTCTTTAGGGCTATGCCTGTAGCATTCTGCCTTAGCACAACAACAACGAAAAGGCGCTCTCTCACCCAGGAAACACACAGTCGCAGAGAGAGAGAGAGCGTCGCCCTGTAACCATGGCAACCGTAACGCTGCCCCCTGGAACAACAGAACGTAGCTGTCAAACAAAACCGAAACAGTCCTGACCCACGACAAAATGAAACAGGAAAGTACCGCAGTGTAATCCATTTATTTCAACAAAGTAACTGTATTCTGAATACCACCTTTTTAAACGGTAACTGTAACGGAATACAGTTAGGGGAGACCGGGGATAGTTGTAACGTGGGTCAGTTGTAACACTTCCAATTTCTCCAATCAGGGCTAAGTTTCAAATGATGTGACTCATCCTGTGCATGCCCAACTCAGTTCTGCTATCACATGTGAAAAATCAGCACATTTTGTCAAACACAGACAATTTAACACGAAAAAAAGTAATTTGTATGCCAAAAAGTAAGTTTTTCTACTTTATTTCAATTTCTAATAGCATTATCTGCTTTGCAGTTAAACTCATCAAACTTAAATTATGTTATTTGTATGTCTATGGGGATATATTCTGTGTAGGTCTTTAGTGCTAATGTTTTAGCCGTTGGCTGTAATGTAAGCTAGTTCATGGCTATAGGAGTCTGGGTTAGTTGTAACAATAATGTATGTTACAACTTACCACACTATTACTTTAACTTATATTAAACAAGTTGGGGCAACAACATCAGCAGAGAGAGGTTCACTGGTCACATTTGTATATGCGGTTAATGCCATTGGCAACACAATTCCTCCACTGTTTGTGTTCCCACACATACATTATGCAGACCTCTGTGTCAGAGATGGACCAGTAGGAAGCACTGGTAGTGGAAATAAGTCAGGATGGGTGCAAGAAACAGATTTCCTCATCTTTCTGAAGCACTTTGCAAACCACATCAAGGTAAACCCTGAAAAAAATAATGGAATTGCGATGCTGGTGAACAACTACATTTTTTCAGCTTCATTGTTATGTTTAAAATTGGTGCAAGAGCTGTAGGTTATAATGCCCACTGAGCCAATGAGGCCAAACTCAAGGAAGACCAACCAAAATTAATGAAATATTCATTTGCAGAAAATTCCATAATTTGTCTTTTTTGGGGGGTTGGAATATGCTCAAAAGCTAGATTTCTGCATTCTGTCACACACACACACAGAGCTACATAAATGGCTCTAAGTGCATTCATGTGTTGAATAAACAAAGATTACATGTTAATGTTTTGTTAGTACCCTTATTTCATTGTGTTACATTTTACCCCAGGATATGTTACAACTAACCCAGACTATGGGGTTAATTGTAACATTTCACTCTTTGTGTTTGAGACCATACCATGCAATGGGTAACTGTGCTGCAGAGAAAATAGTTGCACTATTTAATAGCAGAGACATGTAAATACTTTGCATTACATTTTGAATCCACTACCTTAAAAGAGCTCCAATTTACAGACAGAAATGTCAAAAATGTTACAACTATCCCCGGTCTCCCCTACTTATATTTTGTATTTTGTATTTTAAATACGTAACGGTACATGTATTCCGTTACTCCCCAACACTGCTTATAATGAGGAAAATTATTATTATACTCTCACTGATTCATTCAGAAAATGTGTTGGAAAAAGCAGCCAGAAATGCACAGGAGCAATCGACGAGACAAGACACAACAGTGGTTGCAGATTATGTTGCAGATTATGTACAGAAATATTTAACAGTCCACGAGGGCTGGCTTGCTTTAAGTGGTCGTGTGAGAAACTGCAGTTTTTGGCACTAAAGATTTTCAGCCTTCAGAGGTTGCTCTCCACTACTTATATGCAAAGCCAAAAGGCTTTTCGTGTGGCTCCTATATATCATTCATTTCATTTTTTTCTGTTCAGTTACTCTGAGTGATGAATAAGTGATACCCAGTATTTAATATGTATTATGATTGGCACCATTCGAAACACTACCCAGTGATGGAAAGGAAACAACTCATCTCTTATATTATTTTATGAGGCAGCCATGCAATTTACTGCCAGGGACCTTCAGTCAAAATGTTTAGATAACACTTTTTTCTAATATCTCTATTTAATCTGTTATGCATGTATTCGAGAGACGTGCAATATCTGACTTTCTAACTGATCTCTAACAGCTTACTGGATCTTGTTGTTGTAGATCCAGTAAGCAGTTTGAAACCTGGAAATTCCCTGAGAACATAACTATCAGATAGAGATTAGAATAGAATAGTTTCATAACATACAAGTACATTCATGTAAGGCTGTATTGAAGTTCAGTGCTTGAGTAACTGTGCTCTCTGTATATTAATATAAAATGACTAATTGGCTAACATTATCTCATAGGGCTCTCGGGATACTTAAGAAATGAGTTATGATTGACTGAATTAGGCATTCTTTGCGAGCCTGCTCAGTTCTCTAACAAACATATTGCAACACAGCTGGTTTTTTAAGGCAACCTCCTTAGTGCCTTTTAGGTCACGCATGAATGCCTGACCAGCTGTGCCTCAATTTGGGTTCAGTTTATCCAAATGTGCTGTAAGATTTCTGCAGCTGACATGAGCCTGATGCAATCCTTAATAAAGGAGTCACACTCCATATTGTCATTAGATTCAGCCATTCCACACAAGCGATCATGAAGCATCAGCTGTAGCAGTCTTTCGCCACTAGGTGGTGCTCGATGTCCATCTATTGCACATCTTTGTAAGTCCAGCGTCATTCAATGTCATGCTTGAGCACAACACTATTAGTTAATCCGTTATTTAGCGTTAACAGGCGTACTGTCTGGGGGCTGTGCCGTACACCCAGCTGTCTTACGCTCCACAGACAGGAGATCCAGCCCTGTGGGCTGTTCTTCCTCCAAGAAGGCTTACTTACTTAATTACTTTGTTTATAATTAATTCCAAGCAAAAGACACAGCAAACACAGACTGATTGTGTTCTGTGTCTTTGTTCCTGAGCGCTATTTAACCTGCACTGACACTGTACACACGCATTACTGAATTCCTGCATTTGTTTTTAATTGGCTTTTGGAAACATTAATTGATACTCTGATGGATTGGTTCCACTTGTTACACAGTAATTTAACCCCTTGTCACTTTTGTCCACACAGGGACCTGGCCTTCCAGGACTGGCTGTAAGTAGCTTCTCTGGTATTGTGCAGTTATGCCTTCAACTCTTTAAAGTGTGGCAATAATTTGTCTCTGGTGGGATAAGTACATATCATCTTGTTTGTCACGCTCACTAACATAACTGTCCTGTATAGGGTATTCCAGGCCCAATTGGTCTCCCTGGTGAGATCGGACCAACTGGACCAAAGGTAAGGAAACTCCAGCTTCAGTTTATTATGGGGGCCTTTGTAACTTCTCAGAAGCTCTTAGTCACAATTTCTTACTCTCCTCACAAACATTTAGGGTATCCTTGGACCACCGGGACCTCCAGGATTTCCTGGACCTCCGGGCAAGCCGGTAATTGCGAGGAAAAATCGTATGAATTGTCATCTTTCTTTCTGACTCTATGTCACAAAGATCCTCGAGCTAAACACAAAACCACCTTTTGAAAAGCCTGTTTTTTAAAAAAAAAAACCATACACTAGTGTATCATATGTAGGTTTCCTTGTTGTTGTAGATCCATTAAGCAATTAGAAATCTGGAAAGATAGCATAAGCAACAGCCATTAACTGAAGCATTGCTTAAGACAGCAATCTCAGCATGTCAGCTGGTCTCAGTGCCTGCCACATCAGCTGATGCTCACCTGTGCATCCTATTAGCAAGTCTGATGTAGGGCATGCTATTCAAGCTGCTCCAACCGGCATAAAGTTCATGCTGCTTCTGCAAGCCGCATTGGGCCTAACATCTACTTCTACAATAGCGCCTCTATTTTATGCTATTTTCTGACTTATTCAGCGTCACGTTCTCTGTTGTTGGTGTCTGCTCTGGTCTTGATGCTACGCTATATGCTGTTAGGCCTCCTTAGCATGTGTGGTGAGGTTCCAAATATAAATAGTGCAGATGGAACAATTAGCCTGATATTAGTAAATGTTACATTAACATAAAAAATAATACCTGTTTGAACATGAAATATTTTATAATTGTATTGTTTACTTGCAGAACAGTTCATAGCGCTCTAGAGGACAAACATTCACAACGCTACTGCCTCATCCCAATTCCATTACACATAAGCACTAAAGCGCTGCTTGAATGTACTCAAAGTTAATCCACAGAAAGGATGTCACAGTAAACAATACATGAAGGCACTGAGACTGGTGAGATCGGCTTTAAAAACTTAATAAATAAGCTACCGGGAGTTCATTAGGCTTAATCAGGCGTACATTTTCATCAGTCTAATTGTTGCTGACTGAAATGACTGAATGAGATCACAGGCAAGGACATACTGCTGATGCCATGCTTAATGCGTGCTCTATCCAGCACACAGTTAATGTTGGCGTGTGTGTTTTTAATGCGCCGAATGGTAACAAAACACCAAGCGCAGCCAGAGATGACTGCTGCTTGAACAAGTCCCAACAGACACTAAGTGGTGATGCACTAAAAACAGTTTTAAGAGGTATGCTTTTAAGTCATTTTCCAGCGGCGTATGAACTCTCCTGTGTGCATCTCTGTGATTCCAAGAAGGGGAGGGGGGTGCTTCATTGAGAGTGATGTTCCCAGCCCAGGGGAGTGTATTTGTTTAGCTTTAGTGCTGTCCTAGGGTAAATAAACCCCCATTAGATCAGTGGGCTGTCTCATCTGGCTGTTGCAGAAATACATCAGCACCTGTAGAGATACTTTAACTTTCTAACTCAATCTATAAACAGAGAGGGGGAAAAATGGAGGAAGAAATAGATGGAGTGAAAGAGGGAGAGAGTGCTGGCTCAGCTTGGGAGGGTGGTAGACGCAACTGACTGCCAACTGTGACTGGGTGACTTTGCTCATCCATGTATCTGTCTGTCTGCTTAGGGTCCTCCAGGCAAGTTTATTGTTGGAGAAGAGGGTAGTGCAGATTTCGAGGTAAGATCTAAAGATTCCTCCTCTCTTGCAAATCTATTCTGACACAACTTCACATTTTATAACCCATACACTGCATATCTTTCTCACTATCTTTTCCCAGTGTCCTCTCAACTGCCCAGCAGGACCTAAAGGCCCACAGGGACTGCAGGGAGTCAAGGTGAGTAATCTGTCTGATTCAGGCATCAGTGATCGTTTCGCATTACCAAATTATTATGACACCATCCTGCCTAATTGTTTCCCCTCTAGGGACACAAAGGACGTGCCGGTGCTCTCGGAGATCCTGGCAGCATTGGAAGACCGGTGAGCTGCTACAATCTCCGCTTGAGAGGATATGCGCGTGCACTCAGACACCCATACGTGTAAATGCCGTACAGTTGCTTTTGCACACTCACCCACCGTACAGGACCAAGGGGAGGCGAGGATTAGCTTTAATGAAGCCCCCTGAGGCACATGACTGGCATTAATCTGGCTGCGATTAGTCAGGCCTGGCCCTGGCTCTGGAGTCAGCACGCAGCAAGCCAGATGAAAGGGGTGGTGAGGAGCCAGGTACATGAAGAGTTGGATGAGAGAGTCAGGGTTAGCGCGGGCCTCTCACCTCGCTGTATTAAGCAGAGCTAATGAGCATACTGTGGGCTCCAAGGGAGCGGCTAGCCAAGCCCCAGGAATTAGCCTCTGATCTTCCCACACAAGGAGCTTTCTGGCAGCGCTTGCTTTAGATGCTCAAAACACTCAACGCATCAAGCAAGCGCTCCTCCGAGGCCGACCAGTATTTTAAAGGATCTGCCTGGCTCTCTTTTCTTCTAAAACACAATGAAAGCTGTTTACATCCTCACCAGTTGTTTAAATGGATACCAACAGGGTTTGCTGTATCACTGATGCCCACATGATGCCAAAGATGGAGTAAGACTATCAGATTTATCTTTAAAGTGCGAAAAAAAAAACAAGAACTTAATGAACCTGCTGAGGATGGCGAGCAAGATTCTGGAAACCCAGCAAAAATAATATTTCTTTATTGGCATATAAACAAATGGTTTGAAGTGTCCAGTTCAGGGGTCGCATCATTAAAAGGCCAGGCTAATAGACTGCTCAGGCTAAACTGAGTGTTGATGAAAAGTGTGTAACTTCAGCAGGGAAACAATTAGGCCAGCTTAGCTTATTGTTGAGCTGAGCATCTAACTGAGTTCCTAAATCCTCCCAGTAACGCGAAAATCTCCCTGATTATGTTTGTTTAATCCGTGGCCTTCTGGATATGCAAAAACAAGTCGTGCTTTCGGGGAGTAACAATTGGCGCTTTGACTATTATTCCCGGTTTGCCCAAGATTTCAGTCTTTATGCTAAGCTTATCCCGACTTATCCCGGCACAAGAGCGCCATCGAGTCTTCGTTTCCGCCCCTTTAACAGTCTTGGCAAACCCATTATGCGCTGATTGAACTGCTTCAGGTGCTGAAGACCACCAGAGGATGGTGTGAGCAGGCTGCAGATCATCGATACATGCAGATATCAGAAACGGGTTTCAATGAGATTTTTTGGTAAATGTTTGCAAGTCAAACATATAGAGACAAAACTAAATGAAATCTGTGGTTTGATTAAACGTTTTTCAAGGTTTCACAATTGCTTCCCGGCACATATGCTACAGGGCGAAGCACATACTTATTATTATTAATAATCTTTTTTTTTGTTCTTCATCAGGGCCCCAAGGGAGAAGTTGGCATCTCTGGGGAGCAGGGCATCCCAGGACCTTCAGTATGATGATAATTGAATATTTATAATTTTCATATTATAATCTACATAGTATCATCTCAAATAGCCATTTCTTGTGGACAACGGTGTCTGTCTTACCATAGTTTGCCTCTCTTCTAAGGGTCCCATGGGTCTGAGTGGTTATCCAGGAATGATGGGTCCCAAAGGAGAACCAGTGAGTACTACACTCAGTTTATCACATATAAAAAGCATATTGGCTTTTTGTTTTTCTCCCTCTTTCTCTCTCTCTCAGTACTGCTCTCATTCTTAGATGAGCACCAAGGAGGCACAGCCAGACTTGCCCCCACTCTACAAACATCATCCATTACCAGCAATGGGGACATATGGAAATGATGCTAACACAAATCTCTCTCCCTCTCTAATGAGTTGGGGTTGTCTGGGTCCACGGTGCCTCCATCTGTAGTTAATGATCCGCTGTAGCCATCCGTCTTACTGTTAACATTAGCCACGTTAGCCAAGTTAGCACCCCGGCTTAGTGCCAAAGCAAGAGTGCCTGGCTCTCTGTGTAGCTCCCATTAAAGAAGTGAGTTAAGCTCTAATTATCCCTTTATCACAATGAGTGGTAGGCTACCGCGACTTAGCTCCCTCTCTGATCCGAACAGATTGATGGCACTTTGTTGTTTTCCCTCAGGGCCCTGGTGGGTACAAGGGCATCGGCGGACCAGTAGGACCTCCTGGGCCACCTGTAAGAACGCACACACTTAAAGACACGCAAATACAAATTCAGCTACTCATATAAAGAGGTATATTCATACACTGAATTCACTAAGGCAACTGTGAGTCTGCTCTTTTCTTTTCAGGGTGAAGAAGGACCTCGTGGACCACCTGGAGAGCCAGGCGATAAAGGAGACAAAGTGGGTGACTCTTGTAGTGGTTTCCCTGAAAGTTTTTTTTTTTTTTTTTTGTCAAGGCAGTGGTGTGTGTAAAAAAAAAAAGAAGAAGCTATTTCAGAGCTTGAATGGAGGCAGCGATACTGATGTGCGCCGTGGCTCTACTGAGGCTGATTTCTTTATCTTCTGCAGGGCAGCCGAGGTATCCAAGGCCCACAGGGTGCAGTTGGCAAAAAGGGAGAGAATGTGAGTGAACGCACTTTTGTTTTTTCAGGCCACAGTTGTGGAGGTGCTTGGCAAGGTGTGCCAAATGAAGTCCACTGACTCATCTGCCTGCTTTTTCAGGGTCTGCCGGGTATTGATGGGAAAGATGGCACACCTGGCATTCCTGGAATCAAGGTAAGTGTGTGCCAGCAGTGATAATGATGAGTAACTTCAATCGGAGGTGAAAAAAACAAAAACATTAATTTATTCTTCTTCTGCTCTCATTATGCAGGGTGGCCCCGGTCAGGCCGGGATGCCTGGTCCTCCTGGTCCTCAGGGAGCAGCGGTGAGTGATCATTCGACGGGGGCGTGCGTGTTTTGTCGGAGAACTGTTCGACAACGCCGCCAAAAAAAAAAGCACATGCAAATAAACAGTCATTGTCACTCAGACCACGTAGAAGCGCAATCTGTTCTTCTCTTGAATTCAACAAAGCCAGAACACAGACAAGGGAAACCAGCTTGAAGCGGTGTGTAAAATTTCGGTGTGTTTTGTTTTCTGGGCAGTCATCCAGGTCAACAGTGACCCTGTGACCCATGCTGCTTTAGAATAAAAAGCACCTTGAAAATAGCATTCTCTCTTCAACCGCAAGCAATTTATCACAATCAGACCAGTGGGTAGACATAAGTGTGTGTTTGTGCGCGCGCCGTTCTGACTAACGGGTAATGGAGCATGAGATGTGCACTGCATGAGATGCTGCGCGGTCACTGCAGTGACACTAACACTCCCTAAAACTCATACACTGCAACTTAGCCTGCTTTATGTCAAACTGTGATACAGCAACCACACACACACACACATAACATCACTGCAAGGTCTACAACTGTGGCAATCACACCATTATCATTATATCAAACTGCATTATTACCGCCAACTGCCGACGCCTACGTAGCCATGTGCATTTCACGCTTGCGTTCCTGAAATGTGTCTGATGTGCAGATATGTAGCTTTGATTAGGACTGTTTTCAGCATTGTTTATTCCATCTTCAGGGATTACCTGGCAGCCCAGGAGCTAAAGGTGGACCTGGAGCAAAGGTATGCCTTCTACATGTTCATACTGCAAATTTGAGATAATGCAGCCCGGGGTATGTACATGAATTCCCTGTGAGCCAAAGCTTAGGCTTCAGACTCCTCTAAACACCAAGTTTCCAGACAGTGCTTCCACTCTCGTCTCCATATGTCAGTGAGAGTGGATATTGCTAACATTGCCATTTTAGACACACACAGCTCTGGCAGTGAGAAGAGAAGCCCCAGCCACCTGCTTTTTAAACCTTTTGTCTGAGAGATGCGTAAAGGGAGGGGAACTACAACAACTTGTTTCAGACTCTTGATGAACTAAGAAGATTTAACCCCCCCACTCTATGTTGGACTGTGAATCGTGTACATTTTCTCTAATACAGTCCATGAATAAAAATGATGTGGAAATGAGCATAACAGGTTTTCATGTTCTTGTAATGTGTGTAATGTGTGCCTTTCTTTTAATATTCTTCTTATAATATTCTTTTTCTAGGGGGAACCTGGACCTAGAGGTCATGTTGGCTTGCCTGGGCCCTCTGGACCTTTGGTAAATATATGATTGTTTCTCTTCTTTGTGGTCAACTTGAATTTCAGGGTTTTTTTAATATAGCACCAAATCGCAACAACAGGCACCTCAACAGTCTTTATATTGTAATATAAAGACTGTGGTAATAGATAACAATCAGATGACTCCCTATGAGCAAGCGCTTGGCAACAGAGGGAATGAAAAGTAAGGATCTGGTTAGTGTCTACCCAGATGCTTACTCTGGATGGCATTCATAGCAAAGTAGAAAAACCGTTAAAAGCTATAGCATATAGTGAATAATTGTACTTTCTCCCTTTCTCAGGGTGAGCCTGGTATTCCTGGTGAGCCTGGTATGCAAGGAATCCCTGGACCTAAGGTACAAACCTGAATATCACAATAAAACACTAGCGGCAGCTGCTGCTTACTCACCTCACCTGATGTCCGCAGGGCGACAGAGGGGAGCGAGGACCAGTTGGGCCACAGGGAGCAGCCGGCAAGCCTGTAAGCTGCACCGTGTCTTTTTCAGACATCATAACGCGCTCTTTACTTCAAACACATCATGCAGCAGAGCTTCTGTTTTCCCCTCACAGGGAAGCAAAGGAGAGAGAGGGCCCATCGGTGTGCCTGGCGCCCAGGGTCTCAGTGGAACAAAGGGAGACAAGGTCTGTGGACTTTGTGATAATGCAGTTACACAAAGCTGCATATTGGGGGCAGTGTTTACTCACTAATAGAACGCGAACCCCCCACAGTGAAACCCTTGAATGAGTGAAGCAATATAAATGATAATCTAGGCATAATCATGTTCCTTGTTTTAGAAATGAGGCAACATCTTTCTTAGTTTGTGGTCTCTGGTGTCGCTGGTTTCAATCAGTACTGAATCCTTGTTTTTCTGAGGATAATCCAGTTTACATTTGTCCACATTTACATTTACTCCGTCTCTCCTGCCAGGGCTTCCAAGGAAAAGTCGGGTCAAAGGGGGGCATTGTGAGTAGCACCTCTTTTAAACTGCACCACTGGCTCCGTACTTAAGAATACTTTCAAGAGCCTTTTTCATTCCCCTTATTCTTCGTTACCTCTCTGTCGCTTTTAGGGTGACCCCGGAGTCGAGGGATTGGCCGGCGAAAAAGGCGAAAAGGTAAAAACGTGGACATTTGTTCCAGCACAGACTTAAGCTGCTTTAAAGTAGTTGGTGGTTTTTGTTGCCATAAGGACCACAAAAAGTTTCCAAGTTTGAAAAGAAAAAGGAAATAAATAAATGCAACTTTTAGGCTTTAGATAAAAAAAAAAAAGGTTTAAACATTTGGTTCTGGAGGCATCAAAGCAGAGAGTTGTATACAAGAAAATGTTGGAAGCATTACCAAAGTTAAGAAGAAGAAGAGGATGTCTGTTTTTTTTCAAATTTGCATACAAATCCCCATTATAATCCAGATGGCAAATAAGCTATTTACATGACAGTGAGGCAATGATGCACATTTGGGTCTTTGAAGCTGCATTTTTAGATGTTCATTTACAATATTCATCCTTGAATTATTGCTCAGTGAGTGTCTCCGAGGCGCAAATGATGGATGGAAATGATGAATGGGGAAAATGACTTTCTGTCTTTGCTGTGACAGGGTTTGTCTGGCGAACCTGGGCCCAAAGGACAGGTGAGAGTTACAACGAGTAGAAATCTGACTGCAGGGATGGACTTGTTTTGCTTTATTCTTTCCTTAGTCATATCCACCTTTCTATAAGTCAACCCTGACCTTTAACTCTGTAACCCAAAGCCTATGGTATTAATTATAAGAGTTAATTCTCATTATTCATGATGTGTTGGGCCTCACTGGGTTGATTCTCTTTTTTCTTCACAGCAAGGAATCAGGGGTGACACTGGACACAATGGACCCACTGGAGATCCTGGCAAACCAGGAGACCAGGGACCACTGGGGCTGCCCGGTCCTAGGGGGCTTAATGGAGAACGAGGAGTACCCGGTATGCCGGGCATTCAGGGACCAGCAGTGAGTCCAGTTCCACTCTTAATCACAGACACATACAGACAGAACACCAATCAGTGTTTAGTCAGTGCTCAGTGTTCTCCTCCTCTCTCCAGGGACGTGATGCATCTGACCAGCATATTGTTGAGGTTGTGCTGAAGATGATGCAGGGTGAGCATCTAGACCTGCTTTAATCTCCTGAGGAAACATCAAAGATCAGTTAATCAAAATGATGATGTCCTCTCTTCCGTTACAGAGAGGCTAGCGGCCGTGGCAGTAAGCGCCAAGAGGGCTGTGCTTGGTGGTGCAGGTGTAATGGGGTCTCCCGGACCGCCTGGACCTCCAGGGGCATCTGGGCCTCAGGGACCACATGGCTTACCTGGTGCCCGCGGCATCCCCGGCATTATTGGAGCACCTGGGCAAATTGGAAACACAGGGCTTAAGGGTAAAACTAAACATTAGTACTTTTGCATATTGTTGAACTTCTCAGGCATTAAACGTGTTTTTTTAAACGTGTTTTTTTTCTTTCATCTACCTCAGGAAAAAGAGGTCCAAAGGGAGTGAGAGGTGATCCAGGTAGACCTCACTCAGGTCCACCAGGAGCTCCAGGAATACAAGGTAAGACCTGAAGCCTTCTAAATGAACCTGTAAGGTAAGATTTTGTGCATATTCCTAGGCAATTCAGTTCAATTTGATTCAATTCAGTTTATTTCATGACGTTTTAACAAACACTGTCAGCTCAGGGCACTTTATATTATAGGGTTAAAGACCCTCCAATAATACAGAGAAAACCCTGGCAATCAGACAACCCACCATGAACATGCACTTGGCGACAGTGGGGAGGAAAAACACACTTTTATAAGGAGTTAAGTTGTGTTAAGCTAATGTAAATTACATGATATCACAGGATCTGTCAAATCTGTGTAATTCCACCTCCATCATGGCTGGGCCTCAGCAGAATGCCACTAAAAACTGTGCAAATCACACAGTACTCACTGTCACTGCAATCTGAGGGCAGAACCACAAAATCTAGTGACATTGCCACCTAAAACTTTGTTATAAAAAACAAAAAAAAAAACCTTCTTGTTTACAGCATACTCTCATTTTCAAATTTTAAGATGCAAATGGGAGTGCCAGAGGGATGGAGAATTTTTGAATAGTAATATTCTGGTGACTGGGCCAAAAGTCAACACAGCTGCTGCATAAACGTAACTTACAATGGATTCACTTGTGAAATCAAGAAATTTTAAGATTCTGGACAGCCTTTAAAAAAAAGTGCAGTGTGCGTGTGACACAGCAATACAATCAAATGCAGTAAAGTCAGAACCTGTGTATGAGCTCAAATGTGTCGCTTCATCCCTTCACATGGATTTTGTTGGTCTCTAAAGAAGCAGAGAAGCTTCAGTGGACATTTAAGTCACATGTACATCAACGTGTACTCACAAAGTGTGTCTCAATTGCACTTCGCCTACATTCAACCTAGCTTTTATACCTCAGTCGAGTGTAACAATCTTTTCTTGGGGCACTGTAGTAGTCCTTCCACAAAGTTTTTTTCATGAACACAGATAAGAAGAGGAAGAAGAAAGGTACTGCAAGCAACTGAAGGACCTGGCATTACTGCTCTCGCCACAGGAGAGCCTGCTGAAAGGCATTTTAAAGGCATCATTAACTCCAGTAATTTAACAGATGCTCTTGAATGAGAATGTAATAGGCTTGCAACAGCACACGCTAATTCAAATACAGGGAAACACACTCACACTTCTGTGTGCACACATGCACACAACTTAAATATATGCATGCATACAGTACACACATGTAATCCAAGTCCAGAATGGGGTTTCCAACCCTTAGAATGAAATTTGGTGCAGTTAATCTTTTTGACCCCTCGAAATCAGTTAAATCCCATTTGATGTTAAACTCTGTCACTCTGCAGGCCCCCCCGGTATCGATGGAGTGGCTCGGGACGGTAGGCCCGGAGAGAGAGGACCTCAGGGAACACCTGGAGAGGCCGGTCGCCCCGGTAAGTCGGGCCCGCCGGGTCTCCCGGGATTCTGCGAGGCAGCGATGTGCCTGGCCGCGTCTGCTTACACCTCACCGAGACTACAGGAGGCGGGAACGATCAAAGGACCCAATGTTTAGAGGCCCCGTCTCCCCATAAGCAGATCACAGCACCTGGGAGAGAGGGAGCAAGGCAAGGAAAAAAAAAAAGGCGAGAGACCACTCTTCTCAACATCAAGAACGAGAGGTGGGGGGGGGACAATAATAGTACATTGACTGCATGTGTAGCCCCCCCCACCGCTCCTTCCTAGAACTGACAACCTGAAGTTTTGACTGGTGGGACATCATGATCTTAATCCTCCACATCACCATGACAACAGCAGCTCACAGCCACCCACCTCCGTCTGAAATCTCAAGTGGTTTTTTTTGGATGTCGGTGTCAGCGCCGTCCAAATATCCCAGTCCTGCTCAAGCAGTGAAAGAGGAACAGATTTTATATTACATCTCTCTTTTTTTTTTTGGTCTCTCACCAAGTCAAAGCATCTATGAGCTGAAAGAAGCTAAACCAAATGTGGTGAAGGATGCTTTTTTCCTTGTTTGGTCACTTTCAATGTTTGTTTTTTTTTCCATATGCAATATTTTGTCAGAGGAATGTTTTGAAGTTTTAACGCCCTGCCTCTTTTCCAACATCACACCCGTTGCCTTAAACGTGTACCCCGAAAACCTGACTAATAAATGATTGCAGCCCCAGTTTCCACTCAGTACTGTACCGCATTGTAAAATGTAGTCTTTTTCATTTGTAGGCTTGAGTGAGATCCCTGATTTACCTCATGTGTACACTGCCTTCCCTTCCCAATCCCCCGCTTTCAACCCAAGTCTCGTTTTAGAAACTAACAACTAGCTTTATCTCTTCTTCTTGTTGCCTGGCAACAGCATATCCCGATGGGCACTCCCATCTCCCACAATGCAGTGCTGTAAATCTTTGTAAATGTGTGTTGATTATTATGTAGAGGAAAAGGAATGGGTTACGATATGCACCAACAAAAATCCTGTGTTAATGAAATCAGTGAGTAATAAGGAGTTCCTACAGAAATAATGACTCCTCCTCAGAGCAAATCAGTTAACGGTCCTAATGTGCTTTCTGTGCCACTGTCAATTTTCCATGGGAGGTCGGTGCTTTAACGACAACTTATTTTCATCAAAAGAAGCTATTTATTGTTCTTTATATATAATCATCTGTAAAAAAATAAATAAAGTTGTTTGCTGGCTGTTCAGGCAATCCTAGACTAATAAAGAGGAACCTTTTCTAAGAGCCAATGTTCTTCTGTATCATGTTGGGAATGGAAAATGATCTATTTCAATTCGTTTTTCTTGATATTTGTCCTCGTCCAAATCTTTAAGAGCACCCATGTATGCATGTAAATAAACTCTCATGCGTCCTAAGCTGCATACGCTCAGCATCTTTTAATAATCTTGCACTACCGAGGCAAAAAGTTGCAACCATTCAGCACTACTAGACTGCGCACATCAGATTCTAAATTGCTCAAGGGCAGTATTTGCAACTGACAGGTCAGTTGCTTTTGCGATGTCATAGCTTTGTGCCTGGGGGAAAAGATAGCAAGAACTGTGAGAAGCATTCAGGGATGTCTAACATTTTAACATTATGAGTTGGTCTATTTTTTTCTAAAGTCTTAGGAATAATAATTCAACATTATCGACAGTTCAGTATGACAGAGTGCACAAACCTCAGTTTCTCTATTGAAAGTCTTGTGTTAGATCAAGGTACAGCCTCTAAAGTTAAAAACAAAAAAGCCAACAGAAGTTGCAAACAAGTTCCTCTTGTGGCTGGCTAAAAAAATGGACTGAAATCTCCACAGACTTACGTGTTTAAATGCTCAACTTTGTAGCATTATACATAAACCCAATAAAAAAACAAAACAAAAAGAAAAAAAGAACAACTTTTGTCTTTTTTTATATTGTTCTGCTTTGTGTCAACTTGTACCTCAACATGATAGTGTGTGGTGGGGGTTTTTTTGTCCATCCAGCTGGATGGTGACGCTGTAGGCTGACAAGTGCTTCAACTCCTGCAGCTATAGCCAGTTAGTGATTGCTATTGTATTCTTAATCCACTAATTCGATAACTGAAGTGAACCATTTGGTGCTCTTTTAGTGAATTTTCTGACTAATTTGACTTGCTGATAGTATGAACCATCCAACAATTCTAAGCTTCACTTCTGCTGAATGACGTTCTAGTATTTTACTAGTTATAATAACAGATGTGTGTCTGTGCGTTGCTATTAGTGTTAGCTGTTAGCATAGCAACCCACCCTTTTCTTTCTTTCTTTTTTCTTTTTAGTTCTGGTTGCTTCTGAGCCCAAAACCAACATGGTGGCAAGTGCGTCCGAAAACGGCGGGCAACGCCACAGTTGCTACAGTACCGTGCAAAAGTCTTGAATGATCCCTCGGTTTGCTTCCATTTTGATCTAAAACAGCCAGACTTTCTGGTAGTTTTTAAGTGGTCTTGACCAATATTTCTCCAGGTTTTCTGAAAGTTTTCCTTTGGACGTTGGCTGTTTCCTCCCTCATCTTCAGTCTATTTCACTTGTTAAGCTACTTAACACTGACCTATAAATATTCGAGCATAAAAAAGACAGCTAACTCAAGCCACTGTATGAACAATATATATTTTTTAGCACCTTATTACTAGCAACCTGTAGCAAAACACATACCCATTTTTGTAGCTGAAAAAGGTAAAAAACAAAAAAACAAAAAAAAAATAGCACCATTTGAGATGCATAAAATAGCTCAGTTCCCAAATAGCTATTAGCCAAAAAAATTGTCATATCTCGGCATAGTGTGTTGTGTGTAGTAATAATAATAATAATAATAATCTAGGGAAACTGGACAAGCTGGTCAAAAGAGCAGGGTCAGGAGAGGAGCAGATGACAAGAGAGGTACAACAAGTATCTACATTTCTATCAGTAAAATATGGCGCTGTCATGGTTTGAGACTGTATTTCAACCAGTGGCGTTGAAATACACCACTGGAACAAACAGAACAAAACAGAACAAAAAGACACCAAACAACTGCACGGAGTCACTCAATACACCTCAACACAAGGGTTGACAATGATGACCACATGATACCACGCTTTTTTTTTTGAAAAGCAATTTAATTCAGTTTAACATTCCCCTTGGGTTATTTTGTGGAAAACTAAAGTCTGACCACAGCTTCACAGAGTTCCAGATATAAAAAAAACAAAACCAAAAAAATGATAAAATAACAGATAAAGCCCCAAAATACAGTAACATGTAGCACTGCAAAAGCACTTTGTGAGGCTTTTTCAGAATATGTTGTTATCCTTATGTGATTGTGAGGGTTTGGTGGTTGTGCTTGGATTACAGTACCTGTGGTAAATGGGCCCAATTGCTGCTCATGTTTTCTGCTTCTTCTCAAATCTGGGCAGAGTGAAGCACACAGATGGCTTTTGCCGCTACTTTGAAGTACAAAATGGAAGGAAATGTTTTAAAGTGGTTGCATTTCCAAACATAATGGCATTAAAAGAGGACACAAAATGAACTTTACCAACATAATTACAAAATCCAATGTGTCTTCTGTGTAAAAGTATTTTTTTATAAATAAGCTGTTTTTTCTGCACACATCATTCCATTTTGAAAGCTTATCGACCTTAAAAAAAATCCCTTTTTTTGGCACTTTTTATTGCTGGATAACCATTGACAATAAAAAAAGACAAGGGGCTAGCCATACTTTTTATCAAAACATTTGAAAGTGTATAAAAAGCCACCATATATATATATAAAAAATAAATATATACAAAACAGTCAATCCATCAGATACTCCTTGAATGTAAGTTTTTGACATCTGTTTCTATAGAACTGGAAAACATTTCCAGGGGATTTTCTCTTAAAAGTCAAATTCAAATATGTTTCTTCACACCTCAAGCACAGGGACAGGATATTAGAAATGCATGGGATGCACTCAGAATGGGATTGTGTCAGAAAGGAACAGAGATATGAGAGATGGCAGCAGTGCTAACATAATTGTGTGTATTCTCTTCCTACAGATTTATACAAACAAAAGGTAGAAAAAAAGAGTAGAAAAAAAAAGAAAAACAACAGCCGAGACCAGAATCTTAAAGAAAAGAAGAAGAAGAAACTGCAGTTTGTGATTCTTGTCACCTCTCCTGGGTTGTTTTAAAATATACAAAAGGAATAAAACACAGCGAGGAAAATGTAAAAAAATGAGCCAAGACCAAAAATAAGAGCAGGAAATAAAAGCAATGAATTGGCTTTCGTGGGGGAACAACAATGATGCAATAAAAATGTGCTGCCGGTGTATCTTTGCAGGTCTCAGTTCCAGCGAGGCCCTTAGAAAGAAATCGCAGATGTTTGCTCAGAACTATAGAAGAAATCGGTGAGGGTAAATCTAGCTATTCAACAACAAAGGCAGTGCCTATATTCCATCTTGTGGTCAGACTTAATAACTTTGGGTCACGGTGTTTGGCTTTCTTTCTTCTCCTTGTAGTCTTTTTGCTTCAGCCCCCCTGCCCCTTTCCTCCATCCCCTGTAGCCCTTTACCAGGGGCCCTTGACAGATGGGCCCTTGGGGCTGTATTCTACTGGATGGCTCATACAGTCTGCGGGATTACAGCGGCCATCTTTTCCTTTGGAACCCTGTTGTCCAGGAGGGCCTGGGATCCCAGGGACACCCTGCTGGCCAACGGGACCAGGGGGTCCCATCTTACCATAGCCTGGGGGGCCTGGAACACCTTCAGCATGAAAGGAAAAACAGAGAATATATTCATCATGTCAACACCTCACAGGCTGTTATACAAGCTGAGCAAAGAACATAACTGCCCAGGAGCACAAAACACCCCAGATTTTACCCCGTCTCCTTAAAAAATGTAGATTGGTTTACTAAAGATATTTTTAAAGATACTTAAACTGGTTTATAGAAAAACAACAAATTGACAGTACTGTAAAAAGAAGTGCCAGCGAGATAGCATTAGAGTGGCATCAGCTTTGTCAGTAATAGCAAAAACATGAGTTCCCTAAATGCAACGCTATCCCCCTTTAAAGATTTATTGGACGTATAATATTAGAATATAAAATCCATAAGTACAACACTTCCAAAATAAAAAAGCGTGGATACAAGACGAATGAATTTAATCATCAGTAATGTCATCAAATATCATCTGCACGCCATATCAGAAAAATATACAAAACAAGCACACAACACGAAGCATCATCTCGAACAGATGACGTTATTTCCGTGCCCGTTGTCGGGGGAACTTGAATTAAACATGAACGGATATTAAACTCCCACTTTGATCACTTCATGAGTAGCACGGCATCTTTTTCAGCCCATGCTCAACGTCCTGCTCCATGTAATGTGAGCACAGATGCTAATTTGCTAATTTACACCATGCTAAGTGAACTCCATCATGATTAGGGATTCTCAGATGCGAATTTGGCTTGAAAGAATCAGACTGGTGATTTTAATTAAGGCCATTTAAGAACGATGAAAAATTACCTCATCGTGCTGGCAATTTACTAATCAACAGCAAGTTCTAAGGAATTAGCAGCCTTTATGCTATTTCATCCAGTAGAATAAACATAAAGCGTGCGCAGATGGAAATGCTGTCACACAACGTGAGCAAAGGAAGAAAGAAATCTAATGAGGCAAATAGCTGCCACTGAACTATACGATGAATGATGAATGAGTGGGGTATATTACCCGGTGCTCCAGGAGGGCCTACATCTCCCATCTCTCCAACACCCTTGTCTCCTTTTTCTCCAGACGGTCCTCGTGGTCCTAGGGCAAGAAAGTAACACATGACCATATGGCAACAAAGCTGCTTACTGTCTGCTTATGATAACGTGACATTACTGTCACCCTCACCTGGGAGTCCTTGTCCTCCTGGCCGGCCTTGTCGGCCAATCTGTCCTGGAAGACCGGGGGCACCTGGGGTTCCGGGACTACCAGGAGTTCCATCTTTCCCTGGAGGCCCAGGCCGACCCGGGGACGCCACCATCTCTACTGGCATCTGCATGCGAGACATGTAATAGGCCATTCTCTCTGGGGAGAAGAAGAAAACATTGTGAATAAAAGAAGTGCACAGAGGAAGGAGCAGCTGTTTCCCAAAGGACAAATAGAACCATTCTTGAAACACAGATATGCATCTCGTGAGATAATACTACTCTAGTGTACAAAGTGGTTTTTTGCCCACTAAATATTCACACAAAGTGCATTTGCACATGTCCTTACCGTCAAAGATCTTAATGACCTGTTGGCGAATGAAGTTCTTGACTTCATCGTAATTGACAACAGCCTGTTTGAGAAGACAGACAGAGAGGGGGAAAAAACCCCAAAACAAAAACCAGACGAGCACACATTAATCAAGGTAGATAATTAAAAAATTCATTATTTACAAGAACAGATGGAGCTAGCGAGCGCCTGTGGCCAGTCTCCTCATTTTTCTCACAACCAGCCTGGTTATAGCATGATTTGGAGCTGATTAAATGTTGGAGGAAAGACAAAAAAATCAAACCAAAAACAAAAGTGCAATGAAGCTGCATCTCACGTCATTTCCTGGCGATCCTGGAAGACCAGGGGGGCCGGGGGCACCTGCTGAGCCTGGACTTCCCCTTTCCCCTCTGGGGCCGACTGGGCCAATCATGGGCTGTGCATCCTTGGAACTATATGCTCCTCCACCAGGGGGCCCTGGCCTACCTCTTTCTCCTGGAGGACCCCTCTGGCCAGGAGTCCCTGCCTCACCCTGAGACACAGAGACACCTTTATTTAATATTCACTATGTTGATGTGCATGATGGATGTTCTATAACTGTACTGTCCTTTTATTTTACCAAGAGTAATGTGATAAGGACTGTTACCAACTCAATAGCATCAAAATATGCAGAACTGTGTGATCTTATCACGATGGAGCCATTAATTTTATTTTATTTTTATTTTCACTCTTTAAACCCAACCTTCCAAAGGAGTGTTTCCTTTCCTGTTAAGTACCTGGAAGTTAGGCAAAGTTAAGCCACTCCACGAGAGTGGAGCTTATACGACGAGAGTCTTGAAAGGTTCACTGTACTTGCAATGTAACATATGGAAATATTGTTTGTTTTGCCACAGAAATGCCAAGAAATTATGTGGTACTCAAATATTACTTGTGAAGTACTTAAAATTATTTACATATTAAAATTTACTGACTTGTTACCCTTTTATTCCAGTGTACTTACCTAATATCATTACCTAACATTGTAATTTCAAAATAAAATACATTGAAAATCCATTTAGAAACACAGGAAATACACCCTTAGTTGCAGGCCTTACTGTAACGTGTTACTTGCTATCTATATACAGTATTCATTAAGAATATAACGATCCATCCGTCCATTCGCTTCCACTTATCCTTTTCAGGGTCGCGGGGGGCGCTGGAGCCTATCCCAGCTGTCATTGGGCGAGAGGCAGGGTACACCCTGGACAGGTCGCCAGTCTGTCTCAGGGCTAACACACAGAGACAGACAACATTCGCGCTCACATTCACTCCCACATTCACACCTACAGGCAATTTAGATTGATCAATTAACCTATCCCCACTAACTGCATGTCTTTGGACTGTGGGAGGAAGCCGGAGTATCCAAGGAAAACCCATGCAAACACTGAGAGAACATGCAAACTCCACACAGAAAGACCCCGGCCTGATGGTGGAATTGAACTCAGGGCCTCCTTTCTGTGCGGCAACAGTGCTAACCACCGTTCCACCGTGCTGCTGAATATAACTATTTCGCCAATTTAGGAAGCCTACTGTACAAATACAGACAATATTAATAACTGAATTAAGCCCTGTAAGACGGCTTTTGACTACATCTATATCACTTTCCACACTGTGGTGCTCAGCACTCAGGTTGTGTAAATACACTCAAAAACAGGCCCACTACATTAGCGACAGTGATTTATCGAGGACAAAGCAGCCCATAATGGACGTCTAATGTTTACACATCAGCGGCAGACAGGCGGCTCTTGAAACAGAGAGGAGCGAGAAGAATAGAAGAGTCCGTTCTTGTCTTTCTCCTCTGTTCTCCTTTTCTGTGCGGCTAAAAACCCTGACAATGCCGTCCTGTCAGCGTGACAAATAGCCTCATCTAGCATCTCCCCTCATGCTTAATAGCATTATCCCAGCGGCAGAAGAATAACTTTATCACTGTACCCACCTACTGTAAAGCCTGCGTCTCAGGCTACATCCAACAGGCTCAGTACTGCAGCTACAGAAGGTTAGCGGGCAGCCATCTGCCAGTTTGGAGAAGGGTGAAGTGAAGGGAGAAGGAATGAGAGTTTCAGCAGAGGGGTCGGAGGGTTAGTGATCTGATGACTGTGTTAAGTGCGAGTGCTGACTGAGCAGAGATGTGGGAGGGGGGCAGCGAGCATGTTCAGCACTGTAGTGTGCCGGTATTAGTCTCCGTGGGCTAAAGGGAACAGGAAAAGGGTGGATCTCACTGCATTCAGATGGTCCGCAGAGGAGACGGATGGCTGAGCTTCACCTTGAGGAGGCACACACACACAAACACACACATTTCTAGAATACTGCACTGAAGAGTCGTCTCTTACCTTTTGCCCTGACTGCCCATTGTCCCCTGGCACACCTGCCACTCCCTGTCAAAAGAAAACAAAACAGAAAAACAAGTATCAATCAAGGAAAGAAATATGCGCAACATAATCTGTCAGTCTGCCTCCATTATACTTTAAAAAGAGGGCCAACACCACACCCAGACATTACTCACATCTTTTCCAGGAGAACCATCGCTTCCTGGCTCACCCTGAAGACAGGGTCAAAGCAAGGGAAAAAAAAAAACAATTTAAGTGGGAAATGTTGGCAGTCTGAATTATGTTTAATTAAATGTAGATAGGGTCATTTTAGAAAAGTACCAACCATAGGCCCCGGGTGCCCCGGTGGCCCTGGAGATCCTGGCATCCCTGGGAGACCCCTCTCTCCATCCTGGCCCTTATCTCCTTTTATACCCTAGTTAACCAGGGAGAAAAAAATGGAGAAGATTCTCTTCTATTATTTGCATGTTTGGCAGCAGGACAGAATTTCAATAGTGCCTCATTTCCACTTCCCTCACGCAGGCATACGCCAACAATACAGACCCACCAACACATAACGTTCCCACTTTCTACTGACGCATTAATTAACAGTTGTGGAAAATAAGATACTACTCTACTTTATGTTTTTTTACTTCTCTTTTCTGCAGTTATTTTCCACGATCACAGTCAGTGTAAATATTACTCGCTTTGCTCACTTGTTTATATTTGTCTGACTATACTGTTGACCCATTCTCCTGTATGGGATTGTTAAAGATGCATTTATTCACACTCAATCATTCAGCTCTTGTTTAACTAAATAGTTATCATGATATTTGAGAGATTCTCTCTCTCACCACTCCTGATGGGCCTGGAGGTCCTGGAGGTCCAGATGGACCTGTAGAGCCCTGATGAGGAAAGCAAATAGATTTGTGACGTCTAGCTTGTTAACACACTGAAATATTGCAATATGATGAATGTATATGTTTGACATAAAAGTGAACTTACAAGGTGGCCCGGAGGTCCAGGTCTCCCCTGAGGTCCTGGCGTACCTGGATCACCCTGGAAAGGCCACAAACTGACTGTGATGTATGCCAACTCGCGCTTTCAGCTTCCATGCATAGATTACTGATGTGCTTTATAATCAAGTTGGAGGAAAGATGTAAAGCAAAATAGTCACCTCATGTCCCGGTCTGCCAGGTGGCCCTGGTGGACCTGTGGGTCCGGCTTCACCCTGCAGGGATAAGAAACTTATGAATATGAACTAAAGGAAGCACGATAAGAATGCAGGACTCTGATTTTGGGAGATTCAAAAGAATAAGTTAGCAAACCAACAAAAAACTCCCCAAAAAACAGACTTTCATTGTAATGATCAGCTTGATAAAAACAATTTGGTTTCATGCAGAAGAAAGATGGTGTAAATGTGGCAGACACGGTAAAGCAGCGAGTCGCTGGCTAACCTTCTGTCCGGGAAAGCCAACGTGGCCGGTTTTCCCTTTGAATCCCTGAGGAGAGACATCAAAGAGAATGAGATTGGTACAGTATAAAAATTCACAAAGTCAAAGCAGCCAAAAGAAGAGACAGGCATGTCTTTGAAAATCCTGAACACCTGCTCTTGGGTAGAACACAAACTGTGATATGGTGAGAGAGGAATAAAAAAAAAAGGAGAACTGGAGGGAGACAGACAGCTAGTCATGTCTCCAGTGGAGCGAAGCTGCGCTGCTATACAAGACAGAAAGTTAGGGAGATCTTAGGAGGAGGTACGAAGGTTAGAGGTTTTAGATTTGGTTACATTACGAGTAACATCTACATCCTTAACAAGAGTCGGTAAAGACTGCTGCTCCAACATGGCTGAGGGGAAGCAAAATATCGCGAGTCACACTGTCAGTTAATTTGCATAGGGCAAACCCAGAGCAACTTGGTCACTTTATTAGGTACATCTGTTCCAATCACATGATAGAAACTCAGTGCATTTAAAGTTCAAACCGAGCACGACTGAACGTGGCGCGGTTATTGGTGCCAGACAGGCTGGCCCTGCGTATTTCAAAAACTGCTGATCTTCTTGGATTTTCACCCACACAACCATCTCTAGCGTTTACAGAGAATGGTTGAAAGAAAAGAGAAAATAATCAGTGAGCGGCAAAAATGCTTGGTTGATGCCAGAGGTCAGAGATGAACGGTCAGAGAGCGTGATTGGAAGGCAACAGTAACGAGAAGAAAAAAAGCAAAACAAAAAAACTTGTTACAACCAAGGCTTGCAGGAGGACATCTCTGAAAGCACAACACTGAAACAGATCGGTTACACTGGCTGCCACTCCTGTCAGCTAAGAACAGGAAACCGAGTCTATAATTCACACAGGCTCACCAAATTTGGACAATAGAAGAAGACAGTCATGACATTTGTTTGTTAGGGTCGAAATTTGGCAAAAACAAAATAAAAGCATTGATCCATCCTGTCTTATAACAGTGGTTCAGTGGTGGGAGATATTTTCTTGGTAAACTCCGGAGCTCTTAGCACCCCAACTGAGCATCTTTTAAACACCACAGCCTGATAATTGTTGATCACATCTATCCTTTAAAGACCACAGTGTGCCTACTGTATCTTCTGATGGCTGCTTATATGCTGAAGAAATAATTAGATTAATTTCTGATGTTAACGCTGAGAGGAAAAAGGCATTTACATTTACAGCATCACTTAATGAGCACTTGTGCACTTAGATATTGCTGCTGACACAGCTTAGCTGACGACTTTAACTCACTAAATCACCTACTGCTAATTTGCTAATTAGCAGTAGCCTATTGAACTTTTCTCTCTCCGTTGTCCTTTAAGGGGGGACACTGCACACGCTGTCTGGTACCTGCTAAGCACACTGAGATGACTTATGACTTGATGTGAACTGAATTAAGGAAACAATATTCCAGGTAGTTTTGGGATATAGTCAGTTCGAGTACGGACAAAATAAAACATACTGTGGAAAATGCACGTGTGTGGAAAAAAGACATAAAACACAACCACTAACTTCAAGCGATGTTACCAGGATGGATATTCTATCTGTATAAAAATGAATCTCAAGGTAACATTTTATAGTAAATAGTAAATTGAAGGGTTTTTTAATGTTAAACAATATAATTGTAATCCAATTACAATCCATGAAAGAGTGTACCAGTAAGGAGGGCAATTCATGAATAACTGATGGGTCATAAATTACAATCTTTCTTATTAAAAAATGAAAGCCACATAAATTTGAACATTAATAATGAGCCAGCCTTAATTCTCTGCACAGTTACATTAAAGAATTCATTCTCTGCAACTGTTTCAGTGTTTTAAATCTGAACAACCAAGATCAAGTTGATGCAAGATTTTATTAATAACAACATGATTTTTGTACAATATGAAAAGATACTGTTCATTCTGATTAGAGGAGGGAATACTCACGGGCATTCCCCGGGGTCCTGCTGGGCCTGGAGGCCCTGTTTCTCCCTGATGAGAAAAAAATAAAAAGAGCCAGTGCCAAAGATCAGCTATTACAGCCACATCTTTACTCATCACTGCTTTTTTTTTCATTATATACTGTGTGTTTGTGTGTACGTTGCATGTGTGGGCAGACCACCCATCTGATTCATGCATGTGACCTACCCGCAGTCCTGGTTTCCCATCTTTTCCGTCAATTCCGTCAATGCCACGGGGCCCCTTTTAATATTGCAAGATAAGAGAGGACAGATAAGTACTCATAACAGCATAGAGTTCACAGGTAGGTCAGAAAGGGTCATACTTAGATTATAGAGTGCAAAAAATAAAAAAGAAATAATGCACATACCATCAACCCTGGCGACCCGGTTGAACCGGGTGGTCCACTTGATCCTTGAGGGCCTTGAGTGCCGTCGTTGCCCTAGAAGTAGAGATTTTCAGTCCAATTTGAAGTGCGAACAAAAACTGAAACAGCTAAATGTGTGTTTTGTACTCACTTTTTCCCCTTTGAGCCCAGGAAGCCCTTCCCTTCCAGTTTTGCCGGCAGGACCTGGTGGTCCCTAAATTCACACACAGTGATACAGAAAGTCTCAACAGTAACATCAAGAACAAATGGCTGCTTTAGTGGACTGAAAGCATTTACATACAGGTGGTCCTGGGAAGCCTGGTTGTCCTTGGAAGCCCTTAAAATATAAAGAGAAACACACTGGTAATCGGTAGTACTGGATCTGTCTGTTAGGTCTATGTGTCTTTGTGTTTTATAGTGCATACCTGATCCCCCTTAGCACCAGCAGGCCCTGCTGGTCCACTGTCTCCTTTAATGCCCTACAGACGCACAATGTTCACCCAGTTATTAAACTTAGAAATCATAAATGAAAAAGCCGGATCCTAAATATTGACAAGCTAAATTTACGATGAAATGCTGACCGGCAATCCAGCTTGTCCTTGATATCCAGGGTTACCAGGAGGCCCCTGCAAAAGGGAGGAAAGTTTTAGCCCAAATATATCCAACACAAGCGTCCAGGACAGTGTTGATGCAATCCCTTACTGATTCTCCTTTTAGGCCAGCAGTTCCTGGGCTTCCACGTTCGCCCTTGAGTCCCTGATAAATAAATAAAGGCAGAAAATTAGTGTCTGCTGACATGTCAGTATCACCCCCCAGCTGTCAGGATGATGTCAGTGCTACCGTTTCTTCATAATCAAGCAGGCAGAGTGACTTACAGGCAGTCCAGGAGGGCCCATGGTTCCTGGGTACCCAGGCGTCCCTGAAGGACCCTAAAGTAGAGATCACAGAATCAATCAAATATGGACAGCACTTATTTTTTCTCCATGCTATAATGTGAGACAGAATGATTGTGTGATACTTGCCTGATCACCCTTCATTCCCGGGAGGCCATCTGACCCTCGCTCACCCTGTTGACCCTGAATGTGACAGGAGGGAAGAAGGATTAGAAAATGAAGAAGAGGATGTGATATGTACGTCTGCGAGAGAGGCTCCCCTGGCAGAAATAAAAGTGACAGGGTAAGTCAATATCAAAGAGTGGAAAAGGCTAACTAGCTTGGATCACATCCCCATGAGACTCCCTATTTGATTTTGTCCTCGGCTCTATACCTCCATGAGGCTTTAGCTCTGAGGTGGTGACACCCGGGAGAAAATCATTATAAATACATATATAAAGAGATTTCTTTGGAACTTTTTAAAATTTACTCAACATATTATCCAGACACTTGCCTTTAAATCCCATCCTCCATGTTTCAGGTGGAAATTTGAACTTACAAAAGCTTTTAGACACCAGCTGTAGCACATTAAAAAAACAAACAAATAGCTGACACCAGCAACAATAAAATGACATGTTATGAACAACAGGAAATCATAGAAAAGCTATATTTCGTTATCTGTTGACATTTGAAATCAAAGTATTTCTTGGTCGTTTTATTCTCTATCAGTACAGGTTTACATGACTCGCAATAATCTATTCAAAATAATGACATTCAGACTGATATACTAGCCGATATTAGCGATTTGCTAATATCAATATCAATATCAAGACTGACAAATAAAAATTAAAAAGTAAAGACAAACTAAACACTCTTCAACCATGGTATTAGTTATGATGTTGCATATTTTGTCCACCAGAGGTTACTCTCCACCTTCCCTGTATGTATGGTTGGAACGTCACAAACACAACAACCAGCTGATGCCAGTTGCGCATAAAGGAGTAATCCACAACTTGTTGTGACAGTAAAACAAGATTATTTAGAAAATTCATGTTAAAAATATCAGCCGATATATCGATTTGAAATGATCTAATATTGGTATTGATCTTAAAAACCATTTATCAGTTGGGCTCTAAAAATAACCCATATTTATCTTATAGCTTGTGCAGCCCACTAAGCTCATTTTCCATCAGAAACAAGTTCTATTAGTATTTCTTTCTTTAAGCTAACTTTCTTTTGATTGGCTACCCTATATGTGGGGTCGAGCTGTGGGGTCAAGCTGCATGCCTGAGACGACCGCCTCTTTGACATCACACAGATCCAACAGAAGACTCCAGAGTCTCAAGTCGGTACTTTTGCCTCAGTGTGATTCATGAATACACACTGCTCTCATTACTTACTGTACATTTAATATGAGAGAACTTATGATCGGTTATTACACAGTGTCTGACAGTTCGCCAGCTGGGATTTCCTTTACCTTGGCAAAATAGACAGTTTGTAAAGCAAATGGTCAGAAATGAGAGAAAACTACCTCCCAATTAGGCAACTGCCTGATTACCTTTAGTTTATACGCTGATCGTGTTTACCGCTGTTCATAATCTACACCTGCAAAAGCCTACATCGAGCCAAGACGAAACCCTGTGATTGGTTTCCCGTCATTGTCAGGAACTTCTTAACTACTGAATAAAAGCAGCGTTTTCAACAGCAGGATAACACTACTCTCCCTCCCTCTCACAAACAACACAAACAGACACACTGCTGCACACAGCAGAGGCTAACACCTGCTATAAAGCGATACTACACCACAAATGGACTCCATGCAGTGCTCACACGGCTCACTCATTTAGCATCTCTATTCTCCTAAAGCAATAAATCTGTATGAGGAGAAAAGGGGAAGGGGAGGGCTGCGTCCGCACAGCAGTGCAACTCTCCATCACTTAGATGGGGGAATAATTGAACAACTGGAGAGAGAGAGAACCAAATCGTTTCCTCATCTGACATAACTTTCATTAAAGAGCCACACAGAAAAGGACACGGGGATGGGGAGATGGCGCAAGACGGAATAAACAAGGGTGGCTTTGATTTAAAAGTGGGAGGATCCACAATTCAGAGGAAAAGACCAATAAGTAAATAAATAGAAAATTGGTTCGCAGCTTTAGGACAGTGTTGGGAAGCAGCTCGACTGCATTGATTCAAATGTTGTACTTAAGTACAGTTTTGAGGTACTTGTACTCCTACTCCTCCACTTTTGCACAGAAGATGTAATCAATTTTACCTTTATTAAGGAGTGAACATTATATGTAAAGTTTGTATAGGTATGATGTGAACTTTCCTGCAAAATGTTATCCCGTTTAAGCTGGGCCAAGCATCAGCTCTAGTAAAACTGTTATGCAATTTGATCCATAACCTTTTGAGCATTCCGTCAAACAAACAGACAAAACAAATCCATTGCATAACCTCTTATTGCAAATAAGCAAGAGGGTACTTAGGCCTTCGGACATTTATCAGATTCGTGCGAGTCATTTGAAATTACAAGTAGTTCTCCTTCTGAACTTGTCCACTGGAAAGGGAAATAAAATAACAGCTTAAAGGCAAAACGTAAAACTGTAGTGTTGATCTGATTTTACAGAAAAAAAGCAAAGGATTAAGAAAATAAAAAAGCTCTATCTTCTTTTCTTCCTCTTAATTCCCCCTTAAGTGGCCTATGTGGTCAAATAATCCAGCACATACATACATATATATACACACACATATATACACACACATATATACACACACACACACACACATATATACATATACATATATATACATATATATATATATACATATACATATATATACATATATACATATATACATACATATACATACATATACATATGTACATACATATATACATATATACATATATATACATATACACATACATATATACATATATACACATATACACATATACCATATACATATACATATATATATATATATATATATATACATACACATACATATATATATATACATACATACATACATATATATATATATATATATACATATATATATATACATACATATATACATACATATATACACACATATACATATATATTAGGGGTGCAACGATATTCGTATCGATATTGAACCGTTCGATACAGTGCTTTCGGTTCGGTACGCATATGTATCGAACAATACAATTTTTTTCAATTTTTTTCAATTTTTTTTTTTTTTTTGTGTCCCGTTTGGATCTATAGCCATCAGAATTGTTGTCTTGAGGCCAAGAAAGATGCCAAGAGGATTTATTTTAAGTGGATCATCATATTGGTCCATTTGATTGACCTTTATTATAATTATGAATTTATTTTATTTTCAGTTGCAAACGGGACAGACATGACTGTGGGATAGGACAGGGGGAAAGAATGAAAGAAAGAGGGGGAGAGAAAGAAAGAAAACCAAAGGGGAGAAAAAAAAAAGAACAATACAACATTTGTAATTTATTTTATCAACTTTCCTTCTGACGATGCTGTCTGTGTTGAGCGCTCAGTGAATCTGCATTTGACTACTCCGCCTAGGCTCGAGAGTGCAGCCTAGGCGGAGTAGTCGAACGCAGATTCACTGAGCACTCAACACAGACAGCATGGTCAGAAGGAAGAGCGCAGGGCAAGCTAGCGAGACAGAAGTGGACCTCCCCACCCTCATTCAGATCTGGCGTTTGGAATTATTTTGGTTTTCATGTGACGTATGACCCTGAAGGTAAGCGAGTCATGGACTAAAGTAAAACAGTATGTTGGATGTGCCATGCAATGCTCAATTACATGGGTGGGAGCTAGTGTGTTAGCGCAGTTAGCTCGTTAACGTGTTGGCCGTCTAGCCCCTCTGTATAGGGTAGCTCGTTAACGGAGATTTGCCGTGTTGTGGCGTTAAGGTTATTTCAACGAGATTAACCTGAAAGCACTAGTGGGAACACAACGAATATGACTGCACATTTACACCGACATCATCCTAGTGCAAAGACAAAAACAACAAGCATGCATGCTACAAACTTTAGCCGAGTCATTTAGACAGCTGTTAGCACAGGATTCTCCTTATGGAGACCTGATATGTTTAATATGCTGCTGAGAATATAGCCCAGAAGAAGCGGATAGTATAGCTTTTATTTTGGAAAGAGACATTTCTCTGTAATAAACTCTCTTTTCCAAAGATGAGTGATTCCTCAATCAGATACAGGGCTCGCAATATCGCTAGCCCGACGTCCCGGGGCTATCTCTGCCCTGCCTGTCGGGCTATTGTAGGAAGGAAAAATATATGTCAATGCTTTTGCATTCTTTCAGAAATGTAGCTGGGTAATTATGTCATTGGGTGAGCCACTGTCAATATGTGACATATTGAAATCGTGTTTGAATTTGCGCTTGTTTTTTTGCTTTCACTTTGCAATCGCGCGAACTGTGTATAGAGAGCGACAGCACTGATCTGTGAGTGATGATAATTTGTGCACCAATTCCTCTGACATCGTCTTATTAATTGTTAGCTTACTATGCAAACATGACAAGTGAAATCTCCCGCAGCTTAAACATGTGAGAGGTTGATCGCGCAGAGAATCGCTGAGCTTATGTGAGTGCGGCAGGATATATATTTCACTACGATGACCTGGATGACTGAGAACCTTCACAGACAGATATATATTTTAGTTCTGCTGAGCCAAATAAGACAGGTCAGGGTGAAGAAGTGACAGCCAAAGAAAAGCTTACCACAAAACGGAGAAGTTATGACAAATCAGACTATAAGGCAAAAAGAAAGTGCAGCTTTATGGTTTCATGGACAAAAGAATTTCTGTGGCTGCAATATGACGAGCTAAAAAACAACACGCACAAGGGTTAGGGTTAAATTTAAAAACTGTACTTTTGTGTTAAAATATATATTTATAATTTTAATAAATGACAAATTAAAAAGGCATGAACATTTTTTTTGTATCGAAAAAATATCGAACCGTGACACCAAAGTATCGAACCGAACCGAACCGTGAATTTTGTGTATCGTTGCACCCCTAATATATATATATATAGGGGCCGGGGACTGGTGAGTGTCAGCACCACAGTCCAGGATGAGACAACGAACATCCAAGAATACATTGGGAAGATGGCCCCAACTGACCGAGTGCTCAGTGAATACCTCAGGCAGCAGAAACCCAAGAAAGAGGAGGGAGACGAGGAACCATCATGGAAGGACAGGCCCCTGCACCGTATGTACCACCGGCAGATAGAGGAGGTGGCTGATATCCAGTAATCCTACCAGTGGCTGGACAAAGCTGGACTGAAAGACAGCACAGAGGCACTAATCATGGCAGCACAAGAACAAGCTCTGAGCACAAGAGCCATAGAGGCTGGGGTCTATCACACCAGGCAAGACCCCAGGTGCAGGCTGTGTAAAGATGCCCCAGAGACAATCCAGCACATAACAGCAGGGTGCAAGATGCTAGCAGGCAAGGCATACATGGAACGCCATAACCAAGTGGCCGGCATAGTGTACAGGAACATCTGTGCCGAGTATAACCTGGAAGTCCCGAGGTCAAAATGGGAGATGCCCCCAAGGGTGGTGGAGAATGACCGAGCTAAGATCCTGTGGGACTTCCAGATACAGACGGACAAAATGGTGGTGGCTAACCAACCGGACATAGTGGTGGTAGACAAACAGAAGAAGACGGCCGTAGTGATCGATGTAGCGGTTCCAAATGACAGCAATATCAGGAAGAAGGAACACGAGAAGCTGGAGAAATACCAAGGGCTCAGAGAAGAGCTCGAGAGGATGTGGAGGGTGAAGGTAACGGTGGTCCCCGTGGTAATCGGAGCACTAGGTGCGGTGACTCCCAAGCTAGGCGAGTGGCTCCAGCAGATCCCGGGAATAACATCGGAGATCTCTGTCCAGAAGAGCGCAGTCCTGGGAACAGCTAAGATACTGCGCAGGACCCTCAAGCTCCCAGGCCTCTGGTAGAGGACCCGAGCTTGAAGGATAAACCGCCCGCAGGGGCGTGCTGGGTGTTATATTTATATATATATATATATATATATATATATATATATATATATATACATACATACATACATACATACATACATACACACACACACACACACACACTCTCACTGGCCACATTTTTAGGTATACCTGCTCAACTGCTCATTAATGCAAATATCTGAACAGCTGATCATGTGTCAGCAACTCGGTGGATTTACAGTCGTGGCCAAAAGTTGCGTCAAAACCAGATTTTTTCATTTCTTTGCCAAGAAAAGTCTTTAAAATCATTTTAATTATTCTTCACTGTATAGTGATACTGAAGCAAAGTGCATGAACAAAACCAAACAACTGTGCATTTTCCAAAACTGCCGGCTACGACTGTGGTCATGCAGATGTAGTCAAGACGATCTGCTGAAGCTCAAACTGATCAGAATGCGCAAGAAATACCAGTTAAGTGACTTTGGGTGCCTGGCTGTTTCTGACTATTTTAGAAACTGCTGATCTGCTTGGGCTTTCCCACACAACCGTTTACAGAGAGTGATCCAAAAAAGAGAAAATATCCAGAGAGTGGCAGCTCTCTGTGAGAAAATGCCTTGGCGATGCCAGAGGTCAGAGAAATGCCAGATTGCTTTGAGAGATGACAGAAAGGAAATAGTCACTCAAATAACCACTCATTACACCCAAAGTATGCAGAAGAGTATCATGTCAAACCTTGAAGCAGAAGACTACACCAGGTGCCACGTCTTTTAGCCAAGGCACGGGCTCAGCAAAATTGGACAATAGATGATTGGAAAAAAATGCTAAATGGCCTGTTGAGTCTGCTGCAAGTGTCATAATGGTGTGGGAGATGTTTCCTTAGCACACAGTATTCCCATCTTCTGATGACTCCTAGCAGGATAATGCTCCATTTTCTTTCATTGATCCAATTCAGAGTTGCAGAGGAGGGCTAGAGGCTATCTTAGTTGTCATAGGGTGAACGGTAGGACATGTCACCAGTCTGTTGCAGGGCTCACAAAGAAAAACAGATAACCATTCACATCCAGGTCCAATTTAGAATGGCCACTTAACCTGCCTCACTAACTGCATGTCTTTAAACCGTGGGAAAGAACCCACACAGACACAGAGGGGAACAAACCCCACACAGATGATGGATTTGAACTCAGTACCTTCTTTCTTCGAAGCAACAGTGCTAACCACCCCACCAACATGCTACACGCTACATCGCCCAAAGCTCAAATCATCTCAAACTGGTTTCCTAAACATGAGGACAAGTCCTCTGTGCTCAAATGGCCTTCACAGCAACCACATCTCAATCCAATAAAGACCTTTGGGATGTAGAGGAATCAAAGATTCACCATGGGTGTGCGGCTGATAAATTTTGCCTTTGCTAAATAAAATGGGAAAATAACTGAAGTCTGAGAATTTAAATGAAACTTACAGGTAAACCAGGTGGGCCCTGAGAACCTGGAAATCCAGGAGGTCCCTGCAGATAGAAAATAATGAAAGGAACACTTTAAAACACCTGAGACATAAAAGTAACAAGAATACACACAGGAAAAAAAACAATTGACCCCTTTTGTTTAAGCTGGTTTCAATTTGTTCCTGACAATTAGGTGAATGCTGCACCAGGCATGCCAACAGAGAGCTCTAGTGTGGGTTTGTGTGAGTCAGCCTTTCAGAGTTTAGTGTTATGGCACCCAGTGCGCAACATTTTCACTGGGGCCAGCAGGGGGCTCTGTGATTTCATGGAAAGTGGAAGGAATAAACCTCCACCAAGTCACTTCAATTGCAAGCTTTGAGACAAAAACCCAACGGTGCTGTCCTACAATAATCATAACAAGAAAAAAGGGGAAAAAAAAGATTTTTTTTCCCCACTCACAGAAGTACCAGCAAACTAATGTAAGGCAGTGATTAAAATGCACTTTATAGTTTTTGAACATTTTTCTGTTGATAACAGATTTTTCAGAGTGGTAAGTTGGAGAAAGATGTCATCAAAGTAGTGGAAAACTTTTTCTTAGTATCTTAAAATGGGAGATGCAGGCTCATACATATGAAAGATTAAGATTCCAGAGTAAGAGCCCACTGTTACAGCTTCCTAGTGTTATGATTTTTATTAAAGAAAACCAGCCAGAACACAGTAGGTTCACCCTGCTGCAAATCAACTTCTGATGAAGCTGAACTAAAGCTGAAATGTAGCTAAAACTCTTACCATGTTTCCGGGCATTCCCGCTTGGCCTCTTTCTCCGGATGGACCCTGAAGTAAACATGAAGAATAAAGATCTCTGTAAAGTAATTTGCATATACATACTACAACAAAAACATAAGAAAATGATATTATGCACATGAAGACACTCTGACTCACTGGATCTCCTTTTGTTCCCGGTGATCCAGGCATTCCTGGGATTCCAGGTGTTCCCACACAAGGCTGATCGCCCTGTGAGATGAAGAAATAAAATACCAGGAAGTGAGCACGCAAGTCTCTGTCATTGTAAACACACAGGCACTGACTTCAACTAACCCTTGGTTGTGTTGCCTGCTCCGTCTGCAGTCTCTCCAAACACTGCAAGCAGACAGGGCGACAGCTTATCAGACCAATGCCTTACTGTCACACTGAGAGCCAACCACATTAAGCCATGCACAGTAGAATTTAATGCAAAACGCCATTGCCATTTTGCATTTAGCAAACGTATTGCAGCTGGTCTATTATTTTCTATGATTCTGAATCTGGAGAATCACAGAGTACATGCGAGCCTCACCAAGTCACAGCTGTCCAAGGGAGTTACGCCAGGCCTGCCCTGGTCTCCCTTTTCTCCCTTGGCACCAACCATCCCCGGCACCCCTGGCAACCCTTGGGAACATCCCCCTTCGCAGTCATCCTGTGTCACACACAATGAAACAAGCACACATGTGTATACCCAAACACGCCGTGCCATTCCCATTGCATGAAAGTTTTAATGATAAACTTACATCCTGACTTCCCGGGGAGTCTCGAGGCAGTTGGTTTGGTCCGATGTAAGGCTGCAGAATAGGCATGGAGATGGAAATTCCATGAATGTGATTTTAAACATTAAACTTAAAAATGACCACTCACATTACAGCCACCGACTCTGCTCTGGCTTATTTGAGAGAAAACAAAAATACTTTATGTTCTCCAAGCACAGTTCAAGGACAATGTTGTAACTAAGCCAAGTTACTTTAACAATTAAATAATGTCATAATACCATTATTTCTTAATAATGCAAGAGTACAATGCAAAATCCCTTTGGTAAGGTATAGTAACATTTATCGTATAGACAGTCTGTACAATGACTGTCTATTGTTTAGATGTTTATTGTACAGACTTGTACTAGAAATTGAACGCAGTAGCCTGGTACCAGTTGAGTATCGCATTTTAATTCTGCCAGAAAAAACAGACCCACATAGGAGGGTCATTCTCATACAAAAAAAAAATTGGTTTGTCAAAGTAAGAAAGTTGCAAACATTTACTAAAAATGTCTAAGCTGGCAGATCGCAGTTAGGCAAGTCAACATTTTGCTGCGGTAAAGGTTTAGCTTAAGACACAAACTTTCCGGTGGCAACTGTGTCTGCTAGCCGACCAAACATAGTCTTGTTGTCACTGTCATTTTCTAGTATTTGTCTTGCTATTTTGCTGAACAAATACGATTTCACAGAGTTGTTGAAATTCCACACTTGATGGGGTACACTTCACTTTATCACCGAGGGCTGCTTTATCACCCAAAGCTGCAGAAACCTGGTACAAACTGTCACAACCTTTGCAAGCAATATGTCTGTGTATGACTATCTCATTCCGCACAATGTCACAACAAAACAAATTACCGAGGCTCCAGAACTGAAGGCATTTCAAGCGAGAGACACATCCAAGCTGAGAACTAAATTTTTGTTCCTATCACAGTACGTGAGCTCAATCATTGCATTCTATAAACTCCAATGGGGGGGTTGGAGCCTTGGAGAGCTTTTTGCTGGGCAAGAGATGGGGGTACGCCCTGGACAGGTCACTTTAGAACATGCTTGTTTTTGGACTGTGGAAGAAAGCCGGGATGAAGCCGGGATGCAATATTAAAAAAGAGACACCGAGAGAGAGAACAAAAACTCATTTTTTTCTTTCTATTAAATCAAGTCCAAAAGAGAAAAACTTCAAACTCAGAGAGATAAACAAATGCCACAACAGAGTGACAATCTCCAGTTATTATAAATCCTGAAACACAACTGCTCATTACACACACCCATCGCATCTACTGTGAAAGGCGGTCAGCACCCTATCAAAGCAGTGGGACCCTTTCCACTGAGTGAGTCTGTCAATAGCACCTGGCCTGGTTTCAAAGTCATTACAAACCCATTTGACATTGTTCAAACTGGAGCTAATAGCTGTGAAGGCTATTTTATGCCGCACGCTATTGGTGATTATTTGAGCTAAAACGAGGCCTCGTGCATTAACAGGCTCGCTCAAAAGAAAGTTCTCTATAATTTTTGCATGTATAATTTTACGTCAGTTATAGGAATAATGTTTACTTCTGCCACGCTGCAAAGGCATGTGCCAAATTGCAAATTTGGACAAATGTGTTGTGCAAAGGTGAGCGCGTGGAGGACAGAGTTCAAACTTTTCCACTGGAGGCTTATGCTACAACTCTTCCCTCCCCGATTTCCAAGCAGACTGTGACTGCGTGTACGCACAGACGGTGCTTTATGTGCTCGTACTCAACACTTGTCTGCAGTTTCTATAAGATCTTTTTTTTAAAAAAGTAGGACATTTGTTTTCTTCACTGAACTACTTGTTGAAATACTGCATTGAAGGTTAAGTTGCCCTTGAGAGCTGGCTGGAGATCATCATCGATGTTCCTAAAATTAAATTAAGTTATAAACAGACTTGAAAGAAAGCAATACTGACAGCATATGCAGAAGAATCAGAAAGCACAGATTAGTTCGCAACACCTTATTTCACCACTTTGTCTTTGTCCTTGCACTTACTGTCATGAGAAAAGAAATTACCTTCAGAGATTTTCAAACACACCTGAGGCTAGAAAAGGAACAGCCTAGCACTCAGTCAGTCATCTTGAAGCATGCAGGCATACACAGTGGGGGAAATAATTATTTCATCCCCTGCTGCATTTATATTTGCTCGCTTACAAAGAAATGAACAGTCTCTTATTCTTGTGGTAGTTTCATTTTCATGGAGACAGACGGAATATAAACCAAAAATCCAGAAAATGAAATAAGTATTTGATCCCCAACAACCCAGTCACAATTCTGGCTCCCACAGATCGATTGTAGATTACAATCAATCAATCAATCAGCCAATCAGTTACAGAGACTCCAGCTTTCAGCATATTACACACTTCAGCTTAAACTTGTTCTCAACGCAGACAAAACAAAGCTCATGTTGTTTTCTAAATCAAGGAGACGAGCCCAAACAATCCCATCAGTAACCACTCTTGAAGGTAATAAAATAGAGTTGGTTCACACCTATAAATATCTGGGAATCTTAATTGATGACTCGTTTACCTTCAAACCACATGTAGAGAGTCTTGTGAAAAACCTGAAGTTAAAACTGAGATTTTATTTTCAAAATAAGTTGTGTTTCTCTTTTAATACAAAGAAGCGGCTTGTTGCTGCAACATTCTTGCCTGTGCTGGATTATGGTGATATTCTATATATGAATGCTTCTGCTCAATGTCTTCGAATGGTTGATTCTGTGTATCATGCTTCTCTGAGGTTCATCACTAACTGTAAATTTCAGACTCACCACTGTGAGTTATACTCTCAGGTAGGACGGCCTGCTTTGGTAAGTCGGAGGAACTCTCATTTATACAGTTTTATATATAAGGCGATACTTGGGTTGCTGCCTTCTTATCTATGTTCCCTGCTTGTAATGAAACATGCTGGTCGGTATTCTCTTCATCCGCATGGCTACTTGTTGCTTTCTGTTCCATTTGCCCGAACTGAACTTGGTAAAAGAGCTTTTGTCCATTTAGCACCCTTGGCCTGGAACAAACTGCAGAAGGAATGGAAAATGACTGAATTCATTTCATTAAGTGCTTTTAAATCTAAACTACGAATCCTTGAGCCCAGTCCATAACATGTAACTGTTTCAATTAGATTGATTGTCATTTTAACTGACTTTTTTATTTTTATTTGAATTTTATTTTATATTTTATTTGTATTCTTTCACTTATTGTTGCATGTGTGTTGTTGCTGCCTGTGTTTGAGTAATTTCTGTAACTGTGAGACATCTGCTGCTGCCTATCTTGGCCAGGTCTCCCTTGAAAAAGAGGTTTTTAATCTCAATGGGATCTTCCTGGTTAAATAAAGGTTAATAAATAAATAAATAAATAATACACCTGTCCATAAAATCAATGTCACCTGTTTCATTTACAATTCTTCATAAATAGAAGAAATATAAAATAACTGTCAATAGCCCTGGGTCTAGAGCTCATTGGGGTGTGGATGGTCATGAGTAAGGTGGTGGATCATTCCAAAACTACACGGGAGGAGCATATTAGTAATCTGAATCCAGATGGGACCACAGTGACCAAGAACACCGTTTAGTAACACACTTTGCTGTAATGGACTGAAATCTTGAAGCACAAGCACAAGTCTTCCCTCAAGCAGAACACTGAAGATGGGTCTTCTACCATCACAATGACCCAAAACAAACCACAGAAGCAACAAAGAAGTGGCTAAAGAAGAAGCAGGTTAAGGTCATGGAAGCCTAGACAGTCTCCAGACCTCAGTGCTAGAGAAATTCTGTGGAGGGAGCTGAAGCTTCAAGTTACCAAACAGCAGCCAAGAAACTTTAAGGATTTTGAGGGTCTCCATAAAGAGGAGTGGACCAAAAAACACCTGGTGACCAACTACAAGAAATGTCTTTGGTCTTCCTTGGGGATCGAATACTTATTTCATTCAGTGACATGCAAATCAATGTATAACTTTTATTTAATGTGTTTTTATGGATTTTCCGTTTATATTCCGTCTCTCCAGTAAAATGAAACTAGCAAAAAATTACAAAATTATAATTCCTTTGTAAGTGAGCAACTTCTTTAGGGGTGGCTGTAGCTCAGGAGGTAGAGCAGGTCACCTACTGATCGGAAGGTTGATGGTTCAATCCTTGGCTCCTCCAGTTTGCATGTCAAGTATCCTTGGGCAAGATACTAACCCCAAGTTGCTCTCCATCAGAGTGTGAATGTAGTTAGATAACACTAAGTATAGATAAAGTGCTTGTGAGAATGGGTGAATGTGGCATGTTGTATAGAGCGCCTCGAGTACTCCGAGAGAGTAGAAAAGCGCTATATAAGCATCAGTCCATTTACTTGTGAATTCAGCAAGTGCTCAAATAATTATTTTCTCCACTTTGTACTGTACGAGCCAGATACCTACATGCCACCTTTTAATTTTGTCCAACAAAAAAACAAACTTCCTTCCTCTCGCATCAGCGGTTTCAAATTAAAAGCAGAAAAGCAGGATTTGTGCTTCAAATACAGAATTTAACAAAAGTAAACACAGCACATTTTGGGGCAGAGTATATAAACCACTTTAATCATGATGTAATAAAGTTTGTGAAAAACTAAATGTTTAGAAAATAAACTCATGAGTCTTCCCTTCTTGGGAATATCTTATATATAATTCCACTTCCTGCCATATGTATTTATTTCGTGCTTTTGCATCATTTATACACAAGGCCCCAGATCTCAAATCAGCAGATAAGAGCCGCCTCTCCTCCTTTTTCTCTATTATTACTTACGATGTTTCCAGGCAAACCCGGTTTCCCCGGTAGCCCGTCGTTTCCAGGGATACCCTGAAAGAAGGAACTGAGGTTGAACTAGTTTGTTGCCAATCGAGGGCTAGCCACTCCCATCGGCACCAATGGTAAAGGCAGAGTCAAAGGGGCAGTGCCAAAATGACGAAACCTCTTCCCTCTCCGGCCATGTCTTATGAAACTTGGAAAAAAAAAATCTCGGAACACTACTGAATTTAAAAAAACAAAAAACAAATGCACTCTTTTCAAAGACATGATATCTCCAACCCAGTCACTTCTAGAGTTTCTTACGCCTTTGACTCTTGCAGCACAGATCAGAGCATCACTTTATTTGAAGGTCTGTTTAAATGAAAAAAAAAGAAAAAACTTCTCAAATGAGCCAAATTCATACTTTGAGTAAGCTTTGCATCATTTGGTGTATTTAAAGCCAGACCTTCAAATAACTGTTCATGTCTTGACTGACATTCAGAAAGCTTGCTCAGTTGCTTCCCACATGGGTTAAAGCTCGAAGCACCAGATGGGTTAGTGCGTTTTTGAAGTTTAAACTTGATTTGATCCTTAACCTGCTTGTGTCCAAGCTACTGCACACATACTTTATATAATGACAGTTCATTTCCTACATGCATAATATGGATTTAATTCACCCATGAAAATGCAAAGCACGTTAAAGCCTTATTTATGAACCCAAATTGCCCAAGCTCAAAGCCTACATAAGTAGCTTCTTTTTTTCAATTCAGCATAATGAAGCAGCTTCTGAATTGAAGCAAAGACATAACCCCTCCCCCCTGACCATCCTACTTGCACTCTCGCTTATACCTGAGGTCCTTGGCTTCCAATAACTCCCTGAGGCCCAGGGGGTCCAGGTGGGCCAGGAGGTCCTGGGGGACCCTGCAACATATGAAGGGAGGACCACAAATTATTACATTATAGTCTGACAGTGAAACCCCCCAAAAAAGGAGACGAGCGCTGCAATTTTCCAAACAAAGTTTGCAAGGTAACAACAGACACACAGCGTTCACACAAAGCCTAAGCTGTCATACAGGACGGCTCGGCTGACAGATCAGACCTGAGGCCCGGGCTGCCACGTGTTTATTGGAGTTCCTGGAGCTCCCTGCAAGGCAAGAATAGTCAAAATCAGAGATGCACCTTTGCTCGCAGGATATACAGAAAGCACACAGTGTGATGTTAAGAATTACACAACAAATGTCAAACTACAGAAAACTGTGGAAGAGCAAAAAAAAAGAGAGAAAAATAAATTTAAAAAAAAACTCAGCAGTTTCTTTTTTCTCAACATGTTACCTTTGGACTCGCACCAAATCATCCGACCTGTGCTCTTAAAACATACACTGAGCAGCAATGCTCTCTCTACTTTAGATGAATTTGCCTGTCCACGTGTAGCGATTCCAGCATGGGTGTACTTACAGGTCCGCCTACGCCCGTGTGCGGCATTAGGCAGCCGCACTCTCCAGGTTCACCCTGAAATATACATAAAAAAGACCCCAAAAAGCAGATCTTTAAAAAAAGAATCAAACAGTAAAGTGAAACTGGGCACGATTTTAAGCACAGGCTGCAAAAACGAGCCCTCATTCAAGATTAAAACTGCTCTTGTTACAGGAAGAAAGCCAGAACTCTTTCAGCTTTCGTGGCACTTTTGTTCCGTTTTGTTAAATCTTGATGTGTTACAAAGACACTTGTAACTGGCAGGGATTTAAAGTTGCTGTTTTTTTTTTTATTATTCATACTGTGTCAGGAATATGAAGTGCAGCAATACACAAAACTGCCCAAAAAGCTTTAACTTTTGCATATATACAATGAACATGCAATTGTACAATTACACAAATACAGCTAACATAAGAGGAAACCACATAATATCTCTTCATATGCATCTGTTCTCACTATAGTCCAACCAAAATCATTTTTTTCAGAGTATGCATGAGCCACAGAGTCTTAATAAATCCACAGAATAAAGGCTAAGTTACCACTTGCACATTTTTTCTGTTTTCGGATTTTTTTTCCAACTTCTTATTCTTTCTTAACTTTATTCTTCTTTTCACCTCAGCCCTCACAAACAACTCTGCCCCCACATCGTATACCCCTCCCGACCCTTAAACTCTGCCTCTGCCACGTCTTCATCTCTCCCACCCGCTCGGTGACAGTCTGGACCAGTGGCTCTGATGAATTCAGTAATTAATAGTCTCGCACACGCTCTCTCTTAAGGCCCCCAAAACTCCTCTTGTCTGCCAGCAACAGTACACTTGTCACCTCCACTGCTACTCTATATGTGCCCTGAGGCCGGTGCGTGCACGTACATGTGTGTGTGTGTGTGTGTGTGTGTATGCGTGTGTGTGTGTGTGTGTGTGTGAGACAAGGGATTGGGCAAGGCTGGTGTGGTAGTGGGGTGTTGAGCCATCTCTTGTGATTACCATCTGTTCCACCCTCTTTATATTAAAACCCCTCCAGTTTCCTTCATCCAAGCAAAACGGTAGACTTACCTTGTCCCCTTTAGCTCCATCAAGCCCCTGCAAGAGTAGGAGACAGAGCAAACACACACACACAGACACACACACACACGAACAGACACACACACACACGCACACACAAAGACAAACACTTAGTTACTCTTGCTTTGTTGTTTCAGAAGAAAGCTCACGGGGCAGTGAGCTGAGAGCAGATCAGGGGACGGAGGATGAGATGGGAGCAGACATCGCCTCTGTTATGGATCGAGGCAGACATCCTTGGTTACAAATGATGCCTAAATCAAGGACAATTCCCAAAGAAGCTCAAAGAAAATCAAAAGTCTGAAAAGACGCTAACGCACGGGCGACAACTCGAGTTTGCCACTTGAATTTCTCTGACAACTCTCTGAATTGCAGATTCATAAGTAACAAAAACATGTGAAAAACATGTGATTGAAACAGACTTTAAATGAACAACTCACAGGTCTTCCATCAGCTCCCGGCAGTCCCGTGGAGCCGCGGGCTCCATCTCTACCCTGTGGGTCAAAAAAGGAAATAGGAGAGGGTGTTTGAAAACATATAAGCATTACATCATATGGAGAGGCAGAAAGACATATTTACGTCATACCGGGGGGCCTGTTACTCCAACGCCCAGGGGACCAGGTGGTCCAGGAAACCCAGAGTCACCTTTGAAGCCCTGCGAACAGTAAAAACCCAACACATAAGTTTAAAGAGGGTTCATGTAACTGTACAAAGGCAATTTAGAGTTTAAGTCACTTGTTTTTTCTGCTACCTTCTCCCCTGCAGGGCCAGCAGGCCCAGGTAATCCTCTGGCACCAGCAGGTCCCTGTACAAAAAGCAGAGATTAGACTAAAGTCTACGTATGCAGTGTAAAGAAATAACAAAGCACTTTAAAAATAGGAGAAGCCTACTACAAGTCCTGGGAGTCCTCTTGGTCCCTCTTCACCCTATGATGGAAACACAAACAACAACAACAAAAAAAAAGAATCTGAAGGTTAACGAAGTCTGGGGAGAAAAGAGCAAAGATATGGACAAAGACTGACAAATCAATGAGCTGTTATTCCGCGAGAGGTCAAAGGATTTGAGAGAGAAGAAACTCCCAAATTACTTTATGGTGGTTATTTACAACTCCACTGTCAGACCTGCGAGACCGTAAAACTCTAATCGCTGATGTCATGGGGGAATTTGGTGCAGTGAGATTAAAACAGCATCCACCTAGGAGCTGCGTGAGTGTTGTGTCTAACAGCTGTTTCAAATGTCAACATCAAACTTGATCCAGATGGTTTCTTTTTTTTTTCCCTCAGGAGACGTCAGCCTTACTTGTGGTCCTGGAAGGCCAATTCCTGGGACTCCGACTTCTCCCTATAGACGACAAAATACATTGACAGTGAATCAGTCATCCATATTTATTTATAAACATGATAATATAATAAATGGGAATTCACACCTTGATTCCTTTGGGACCGACGGGGCCCTGCACACCAGGCAAACCTGGCTTTCCCTGAAATGACAAAAAAACCCCAAAAAAAACCAAGCTCATCATGTGCAATTCTCACAGCACAGAACTTAAAGTATATCCACTTATAAACAAGTGCCTTTACATTTTTGCCAGACTTTCCTTCTCCTGGGGGGCCGGGGTCTCCTTTCTCTCCTTTGGGGCCTGGCACAGCTACACCGTCACCCACAACAGCACCAGCAGAAGGGCAGCTGGTACACGCATCCCCCTGTAAAAAATAAACAAATAAAATAATAAAATAAAAGCAAATCAGCAAATCCAAAATCACAATCCAAGTAGCTCAGGACGAATCAAACTTCATTCCAACTTCTGTGTCTCCATTTAGCTAATCAGCATCAATTCTAACTCCTATTTCCTAATATGTAATAGATGCAATAGATGCTCTCAATGGATGGAGAGACAAATCTAAGTCCATTTAAAAAAAACAAATTAGATCTCTAAGGTACAGAGACACGACTGACACATTTTATACTGGCACTGGCATCAGAGGATGGAAGGTAAAGGTCCAGGAATGCTAAACTACCTTTTCTCCCTTCAAGCCCCGTTGGCCATCCCGACCATGGTCTCCAGGCAGTCCTGGGGCTCCAGTAGCTCCATCTAATCCATTCTCTCCTCGATCTCCTTGCTCACCCTGGTTAAATTGAAATTCATTGTTAAAAGGAGAGGCAGTGACCTGTATTTAGTGTGCACAATGCTCAAAATGAATTCTAGGCAGGCTTCTTTTTTTTTCCCACCAAGAACAACTAAAAGACTGTGAGTGATGCAACCTTTCTGATGGTTTCATGCTATGATACTTATTGACAGCTGGCTGCAGCATGAATTGTATCATCAAAGGTAGTGGAGAAGAAGATTTCTAGTGAGCAAACACAGACGTGAAGAATGCATGATATTAATTAAAAAGGTTTTGCGATCTTATGAGAAAGAAAATGTACACGTATGGTGGATGCCACCAATACCCACAATGCAGTTTTACACTAATTGGAAACCTTTGAGTATTTACAAGGCAGCTCCACAGGGTAGCTAAGAATTCCCTCCCCAACATCAACCAGGCCAGTATTTTTGTCTGATCTATGTTTATGTGGGGAAAAAAAATATCAATCTCAGTATTCCAGTAACTATCTTCCTTCACTTTGAAGTTGAAGCAGAGTGATTCCTGTGGATGACTTTCAAGGTAATTTAAGGCAGCTTGGCTCTGTTATTGGGAGATTTATTTCTCGGTTTTATAGGTAAAGTGATGCGAATGTTCCAGCACATGGATTCTGTGATCTAAAATAAGCACAATATTTAATACGCGGCGTGGGATTCCTCCAGACATCCTCGGCCTGTGCTTATGTGAGAACGCCTGGCTGCCTCTAAAGGCCACCAAAAACTCCAAATAGTCTCATTTTGTCAGCATACTGCTTTGGTTATGTGGGCACTGGGTAAATGTCACAGAATGGTTGTAGATTTCATATGTGGGGTTTAATTTCTTAACTTACTAGGTCAAACCATAGGAGACATTACTGAGTAATTTACCTTTTCTCCTTTGGCACCAGGCAGCCCTGATGGGCCCTGTAAAGTAAAAAAAAAAAAAGAGGATGTAAAAATGTAAAAAAAAATGCATGCACACAGGTAGAAACACAAACATGCACGTGCACTTTCAAAACACATGTGCAGTCATCTGCAAATACTGTGGGAGCCTCTATCCATTCAGATAAAATAAAAACTGTTGACACAGAGCTAACCACAGAAGCAAACAGCATGTAATTGGGGGGATGACACAAGCCAAAAGAGATTTATTATACTTAGTAGCACTTCTGTGGTAAGAGGAGATTTGCTGTATAGCCGATTTGTACAATAAGTATTATGGGTTGACGCACCCTTGAGACACAATCTTTCAGTACCTTAAAAGTCTCACTCATCAAGATAATGCTTAATCCTTTTTACTCTGCAAGGATCGGAAAGAAGCTGCATTGGTTTTTTGGAATTTGCATAATGCGATTTGAGTTACTAATTCTGATGAAGATCACTTATGGAAGTAATGGTGTGTGCAGTGCTGTTTCCATTTTTGTTTGTTCTTGGGTTTGGTTGCAAGCTATGTCACTGTTACATGCTAATTTAGCCAAGTGGCATTGTTTCTTTTTAAGGATTTATAGAGGTTTCGTTCTGTTAAAAGGGAGTTTTTCTGTCCCACTGTCGCCAAGTTCTTGCTCATAAGGGGGTCATCTGATTGTTGGGTTTTCTCTGTCGGGGCTTTACCTTAAAAATATAAAGCACCCTGAAGCAACTGCTGTTGTGATTTGCCACTATATAAATAAATATTTTATTCCTTCTTTCATACCGTTGTGCTCTCTACAAGCAAAGCCAAGAAGGTCTTAAAAGGTGCTACCCTGTCATTAGCACTTCCATCTACATGTTTCTTTGAGATACAGTTATTTTAGCAGCAATACAGTAAAATACGCTGCACTAATTTGCATTAATTTTTTCCTAACTGAAAAGAAGACAACCATACATGAACATATTAGAATAATCTAAGGTGAAGCTGTTTTTGGATTCCAAAAAGATGCTTCGAATCAGTGTGATGGATACGCACCTGTTTGCCTTCAGCCCCAAGACCTGGAGGTCCTGGTGGCCCCTGAGGGCCTGGTTCACCTTGACTGCCTTTTGCTCCCACTGGCATTTTGATATTAGCAGGTATCCGGCCAACCTCTGATGATTCACACACACCACACTCGCCCTAGGGAAAGCAAGGGAGTCAACAAGATGAGTTTGCATAATAAAAATATTAAAGGATACAAAACCAACAAATACATCCGCACTTACCTTCTCACCCTTTTGGCCCGGAGAACTAACACCAGGCTGCCCTTGTTCTCCCTTAGAATGTATAAACGTAAAAATTTAAAAACCTTGGAATAACATAACATATAAAACACTCAGTAGTAAGAAATGGAGAGGATTTCGGAGTGAAGAACCTCTAGCTGAAAACAATACCACTTGTTAAAGTAGAACTTGAGATATTTTTTATGAGATACAAAGCTTGGAAGGTAGACTTGAAAGGTTTTTTGTCTCAGTAGGAGACATGGAATATAGTGTCGTTCTTCTTTTAATAGCATGCATGCTGACATTAACAAACTTGGATGGTGAACATAGAGAATGAAGATTCCATACTCTTATCTTGTGCCAGGAAACATTGGGAGTTTATATGCTAATGCTACTTTTAATCTAAATCGCTAACTTCTGCAGCTGTGATGTATTACATTTAACTCATGCTAAACATTCACAGGTTAGGGCACAGTTCTCGCTCATTAGATTGTGGGAAGTACATATTTATATTTAGTATATATTTTCATATTCTTGGCAGTTATTATCACCACTAGAGCTACAGTTTTCATGTCAATTTCATGTGCTATTTTAGCATGCTAGCAGGGGTACTGGGGTTTTAATTTAGCAAGATGAAAAGTGTGGTAATGTTGTGTTAGTGAGCCAAAAAGAGTACCAGGGTGTTACTTTGGTGAGCTTGAGAAAGTACAAACGTGTTAATGTGACGAGATAGAAAGGGTGCAAACGTGTTAATTCAACAAACTAAAAAGAGTACCAAGGTGTTACTTAAGAGAGCTAGGAAAAGCACCAAAGTGGTACACATAGACAGGAGAAAACAATCTTCTAATCTTCTGAGGTGGAAAGATTAAGCCAATGCAGAAGAGTCTATACTTTCTGTATTAACCTCTGTAAACACTTTCCTGATGGGTTAATGGGCTCAGTCACTCACTTTGGATTATATTGAATAAAAAGATAAGTCTGGTTTTTAAATCTTGGCCATCAAAAGGGATCCAAAACCTTTTGACATATTTTCCTACCTTTTCACCTTTCTGTCCATCCTTGCCACTTGGTCCCCTTGATCCAGGTTTTCCCTGTCTCGTGGGCACATTTTATGATTTCAGTAAATCGGGATGTCATCCAAAAAATGATGTTTAAAAAGAACTGAATCTGAACTTACGGTCTTTCCATCAGCTCCTCTGCTGCCTGGATTACCCTGCAGTGGAGTGGAAGAAAAAAAAAAATCACAATCTAAATTTTAAGAATTAATAAAAATGGATGGGTCTTTTCAATTGGTAATTCACATTTGATAGTACAGACCCTACAGGCAGCCATCTAAAAAAATAAAAAATAAATAAGAAATAAAAAATTGGCTTTTGATTACCTAAGCTCTTCACTAATAAGTTTCCCACTGGGGAAAATCCCAATGGCAAACAGTCTGGGGCACTAAAATTAGTGCACTGCTGTGATTATCTTCCTCATGAAGTCTATTAAGAGCTTCACTCAGAAACCTACTGAGTGAGTTCCCTTTATGTAAGCCTTGTCTGCTATTGAGGTCACCTACACTGTTCATGTTTCTTTTTGTGCGACTTACCTGCTCTCCTCTAAGACCAGCCGGCCCTACATCTCCCGGCTGCCCCTGTGTAGGAGAAAAAGTGGACAATATATCATTTTAATTAAGGTACTTATCAATGCACACACATGCGAGCAAATATAGTAACAAAATCACCAATAGGAGTATAGTCAAACAACCCAATTATCCACTCAGTTGCTTCCCCTTAGTAGGTCCAAAGTCTTTTTTTGGTTGTTGTTTTTAACTTTGTGTGCAATTTGCTTCCTATTGATCACCAGAATCACATTAATCCCTCGTAAACAAGCTTACCCTCTCTCCTTTCTGCCCAATTCCAGCTTCTCCCTTCTCGCCTTTTTGCTGTTGGGTTTGGGTCATGACACCGGGGACAGAGTTAGAAAACTCTCCGAGAGTGGGGCACGCAGAACACGACTCTCCCTAAAACACACAGACGGAGCAGGGAAGTTCAGAGTGGGTCACAGACTGCCTTGAACGAATAATCAGAACAGACTCATTTGGTTCTTTGACCCGGTCAAACAAGTTGCCAGTCATGGAAAAAAAGAAATCACATTAATAAGGTTAGAAACATTCTGGTGCTGCAAGACTTGTGGAAACAGGTAACTGTTTAGCCTCAAACATAAAAAAGACACAGAGCTGACCTTTTCACCTTTGGTACCATCAGATCCTGGTTCTCCCTGCCAAAACATACAAAAAGACAACAGTCAAGAAGGCATATTAGACCGAGCGCATCCTGACAAGCAGGCTTGCTTTGTCATGTCATGTCTCAGCATGGCATTGGAAGCATTCTGGCTATAACAATTAGGCAGATATGGGAGTATGTCAGTCCTGCACATACATGCATTGGGAATCGACCCACTTAGATAGCCATGTGAAGGAGTGTTGAAAGTGTGTGCGCGCTGACTTTCGTCTGTACTGCTGGTTGGCTTGCTTCTGCTTTAGGAGGGAGTCGTCTACAGTGCTGATGTTAGCATATCTGAATGTGTAGGAATGCAGATGAATAGGCCACGCTTCCACAGAATATGAATGAACCATAAGCTGTAAATGCATGGGGGGGGGGGGGGGGGCTCAATACCTTCCGTCCTTCCTTGCCATCTGCACCTCGAAGACCCTGTTAAATACAGAGAAAAGGGAAGAGGTGGGAAGAACAGGAATTATCTAGAAGCAAGAATGTTAGTTCAACTTTGTGAGAGTAAGGTCATATCTCCCCCTCTCCCTCTCTGCTGCTCTACCTCGTTCTCCTTCTGCCCTAACCAGGTATGACAGATGGATACTGGCACTATTGGAAATCGTTGCACAGTGAATCTCATAAGGCTTGAGATTTATATTCTTTTTTCCCCCACCACAAATCATTCTCTATTTCACCTGCTGGGGTAAGTGGGAAGATGCGGAATGAACAGAAAGAGAAACACAATGCACAGGGTGCCGAGTCCTGACTCACTAGAGAAACAGAGAGACGAGTTAAGATTACATTAAGAAAAAGCCCTTTGCCTTGGAGGATAAACTTTTGACAGCATATCACGCCTTCTCCCCTTGAGCTGCTGCAATACTGTGAGAATTACAAGGGCAAATAAAAGCTCAAGGTAGACATAAATGCCACACTTTCCCTCTGAATGATAAGAAAAATAAAAAAATATGCGTTATCAAAAAAAAAAAAAAAAGTGTGCTCAAGGTTCAATTGTCAGCTACAACTCTGACCGTGTCTACAACTCCATAATAAAGAAATGTAGCAAGATCGTAAAAAAATAGCAAACTTAACATTCCGGTCAGGCGCAGATGACATTCCGGTCAAGCGCGCTACTTACAGACGGTCCTCTCTCTCCTATCCCTGGTAATCCGGGCTCTCCTTTAGGGCCAGGTTTCCCTTGCAAAGCCACTTTGTTGCCTATGTCTGCAGGCAGCACTGGACACACTTCGCATGGGTCACCCTGAAGATTTAACGCAAGTTAGACGTACAATGTGATGATGAGAGAGAACTCAGACAAAATGCATATAGAGATTAAATATAGTGTTTACAAGATATACCTTCTCTCCTTTATATCCAGGTGGTCCTCTTGGACCCTTTGAAAACAGCACAATCTCATTCAAACACTGACATATCGGATCAAAGTTCAAATCATGTCCATAACCTGGAAGCCCATCCATACATTACAGAATACTAATCGATGTTTAAAAAAGTCTCTCACTGGTTCTCCAGGGAATCCATCTTCTCCAGAAGTTCCTTTATCGCCCTGTAAATACAACAGCTGTTTTACAGAAAGCTTTTTTTTTTAGTAATAAGACATTTCTTTTTGCCTTTGCTGGTTCTTGATGTGCAAACAATCAACTAACAACTTGCAAGCAGGATTTGCAATAAGCATTTACACTGGGACAGGACCTTGAGTATCCTCAAAACCACTGCATTTACATTATTACGTTGCAAAAAACATTGCATTTTCAATTACTTTTCTGCTAACTAGCCTATTTAACGCCATGATACTTAGTCAGGTATCATGGTTTCAACCATTTCAGTTGTTTGTCCATTAATTTAAGCAAACTTTTATATCGCTTGCTTAAAAAGTCGCCATTTCAACTATCTGTATATTAACTTTCAACTGTTTCAACTGTTCATTTATTAATTAGGTAGATATGTCACACATTTTTGATATTTGTTCTTTTTAGTTAAACATTTATACCTTACTTTTAGCTAACTATTTGAACTATTTAGTTAGCTAACTAGTACTTATTTGTTTAGTTTTTTCAACAACTTTAAGTTACTCTCAGCTTTTCAAACTCCTTACTAACAATCCTCCTCCCTTCTTAACAAGTATCTTCTTAACAAATATATGCACATATCTTTTTCAAGTTAGTGAATGCTAATGCTAATGGTAATAGTAGCTGCAGTGGTACCTTCCGAGATACAAAGGCACTCGAGTGCCATGGCCTTGAATGCTTCATATATTATTAAAGCAAAAAGGACATCTTTATTATAATATGCCTAAGAGCATTATTATAACAATCATAAGTCAAAATGTAAGTTTACCTTTTCTCCTTTTGCACCGCTGGGTTCACCAGGAGGGCCCTGGGAAGGAAAAAAAGGAAATGAATCTTTTAAAATGCCATCCTAAGATGCTTTTAGACTTTAATCAGGAGCAATCTGATCAAAAGAAAGCATTCTGCCACATCCTGCCATGTATTTTTGAGAGCTGTGGCTAACCCCCCCACAAAGAAACACACACTTTGGTCAAATAGAAGCCATTTCTAAAATGAGGATAAGGACATTAAGATAATCAGTGCAAGGACATTGTCCAGTAATTGTGTATATCATTCTTCTGCTTTCTGTGACCAGTTCTTTAATTAAAAAGCGCACTCACTGGAGGACCTGGTTTTCCGACCCCTGGTAGGCCTGGAAGTCCCGGCCTTCCCGGCTCTCCTGCCAATCCTTCCGGACCTACCATACCAGGGACACCCTGGGAAACAATTTCAAAACATATCTATTAAATGCAAACTGGACTGCAAGAATGTGACAGGTTAATTGTAGACGTGATGCAGACAGACCTTCTGTCCCTTGGGGCCGACCACACAGACCGATCCCGCTCGACCCTGGGAAAAGGTGACAGACAAAAAAGGAGAATTGCCATCATCAGTGCCAACTCCAAATAATCAAACAAATTGTTAAAGACACTTGTTTTCCCCCATTTGTCTGATGTTCCTCGTCTGAGAAATAAGAAAAAAACGGGAGAAATGTAGAGACTGTAAGATGTATCGTCTTCAGTGGTGCATACGTAATATTTTCTCCTTGTCTGATTCAAGTCACATCAACAGCACATTCATATTCATAATGTCAGATGGATGGGAGACTTAAGAAAATCTATCCTCCACCAAATCCATCTGGCCACAACAAGCAATTAGCCCGGTGAACGTGAGTGTGAGTGCGCGCCTGACGCTGAAACCAGGGGAATATCTCAGAGCACACACATGTCGTAATTTGTTCCTCAAAACTTTTCATGCGTCTACAGGATCACTGCACTGAACAGGGAAGATTAAAAGGTTTAAGTCTTCCTGAATAGACGCCCGCCTGTGTGAGAGACGAACAGCACAGTCAATGAGGCAGCATTGATTGTGCAAGCTTTGTTGCTCTAGCCTAATCTAACAGGCATTAACAGGCCGACTTAACGCAATGGGAGAGAGAGAGGAGGGGGGAATAAATATCAATGGGCGCCTGAGCTTAAATAGTAATACCGTATGAGTTTACTGAATATCCGCTCCAGCTTGATAAAAGTGGCTGCATAAGTGGATGTGCGTGAATGAATTAGTATGTTTGTGAGTGTGCACTCATGTTTGTGCTATTGAAATGTAGATTGAAAGCTAAACTCTAAATTTCAAGCCTGAAAGGTACTTTGGTTGAATCTAACGCTCTAATTTGAAAGCAAAAAGAAGTAAAACCAACAAACACAAAAACACCTACATCCTTTCCTGGGGTGCCTGTCAGACCCTGTGGACCCCTCTCACCCTTCTGACCTTTGTCTCCCTGGAGAATCAGAGGGGGGTGAGGAATGAAAAAGCAAGAGGTTAGACTTTAATTAGATGATCATTAAAAAGTCATATCTTTATTATTCATCACCAAAAGTTTCTTAAGCTCTTCACCTTGTACCCAGCTGCTTCGCCCCAGTTGGCAGGGGTCGCCTGTGGAGAGAGTGAATGGAGACAAGGCCCAGATCAATGACCTGGCTCTAAAGAAACTCTAAACAGCCACACACACCACTGGAGCATAGCAAAACAACACAGTGACCAGTTGGCAACCGGTAAGGGCTACCAGCAGGGGCCATATGCCCCATTTGGACACACACAAACAAACAACTTGAGAAACAGGAGCACATTATAGAGCAGCAGTCCGAATGGCTTTACATGCTGCATATTAATCAGACGCAACTCATTGCTGAGAATCTAAATTTAATATAGAAACAGAGACCCCGGGGTTGGTTTCACAAAGCAAAGATGGATTTTGTGGATGGATTAGATCAAACTAATTCAAATTCTTCATCTGCTGCACAAAACACGTTAGACCTTGACTATCTTAAGCAGGAATGTGTTGTAATAAATATTGGATCAATTAAGACTTCTCAACAACAACATAAAAAAATAAAGTCCTGACTGAGTGATCACACCCAACCAAGTAACACAGATGGAACTAAGAAGAAAAAAAAATTGTGCTTTTTGAGAGATAATCAGTGGAAAATGTGACATCAGATCAGAATGAAACAGTCTACTTCCTGCCTAATCTCGTGAATTCATGATGTGATTTGCAGAGAAGGCACTGGCAACATATGTGTGAATAAATGTAAAAGTAGGGTTACTAGTGTTTATGTTTCTTAAACCTGAAATACACCCGGTTTTATTTTATTCTCTTCTGCCCTGTTGGGTGCTGCTGATAGTCTGAGTCTTAAGGTTTGCTAGCCTAAAGGTAGGCGGTCAAGTCAGTCTTTATGTTTGTGCAACGCTCTAACTTTCTTCATTCACATGTGGCCACGAATTGCGGCTAGTGACCGAAAGAGTGAGCCCACAAATGTCAAGAGTGAGAGACAAATGTCAGAAATTAGTTTCCTACGGGGGTTCCTGGCCTCAACCTCGGAGGAGGGGTGATCCTGGGGGGCTGCTCAAAATAGAGCCACTTCTCCTCTGCATTGAAAGGAACCGGTCCAGGTGGTTCAGGCATCTGGCCAGGATGCCGCCTGGATTTCAGGCATGACCACCCAGGAGGAAACCCCAGGGCAGACCTGGGACAAGATGGAGAGATTATGTCTTTCAGCTGGCTTGGTAATGCCTTTCTATATCTCTATGAGAGGTGGAGGCAGTGGCCGTGGAGAAGGGAGGTCTGGGCGATTCTGATTAGAATACTGCCCCCTTGACACAAAGCCAACTAAGTGGTAGAAAATGGATTGATGGGTCTGACCTGCTTCAGAGCAATCGAGGATAAAATTTAAAGCTGATCTAACTCTTTAAACCAGTCAAATCTATCCTTTGAGAAACCAAGCCCTGCATATATACTTTCATGCAAATTCGGTGAGTCACTCACCAAGTAAATAAACATACAAAGCACACCATCATTCCCACTGCATAATTAATACTGGGAAAAGGATGCTGGAAAATGAGGTTTCAAATAAAGCTCAAACTAAACAGCTAGGGGGTTAGCAGGGCAGTGGAAGGTGCTGCTGTAACCTTGGCAGTATTGGCACTCACCGACTCGCCTTTCTCTCCCTTCTGCCCCTTGGGTCCTTCTGTGCACTGAGGTTAGAGACACTTGGTTGGCATGTATAATCACAGACCACTATTGGCCAAAATTTCAGGCTCACTGCACTGCATGCCAAATAACTAAAAGGACCAACCCAAAAAACAATGCCTTTCCACAAAGCGTGGCGTGGGGTGAGTGTGACACACAATGGAAAAGTAACTTACTGGACCTGAATGGGAGCCAGAACAGTCATCACCCTGAAAATAGAGAGAGGTAGAGAAAGAACAATGATGGCAATGAACAATGATGTGGGTGATGAATAGAATCAGTGAGCACCGAACAATGCGTACCACCTAGATGGTAATTGGTCAACAGCCTACATCGTATTGGACTACAGCAATATCAAAGCGCCGAAGCAGACATGTCCAGGCACAAGCGATCGTATTGCTCATACCTCTGATATTAGTCTTACTACGCCCCCTCCCCCAAAATGAATGTCAGTATTCTTTGTTGTAATCCTTCATACTCACCCGGTCCCCTTTTTCACCTTTCACCCCAGCAACCCCGCCGAAGTTTACAACCTGCAAAACACAAAAACGCTCAGTTACCCACCAGCCTGATTTTATACCACTTTAAATAGAAAGAAAGAGAAAGTAAAGATCAGAGATCCTTACATTTTCTTCCCTATTCAGGAGTAAACACCCCCCACACTACAGACACAGAGAAACAGAGATTTATTATTATATGAGTTTAACATCCACTGAAGGACCTGCTGTGTGCCTGAATAAGACATGAACGTTGCAGTTCAATTTGTCCCCTGGCAGTGGCACTGTTGCACAAAAACAAATCGAATTCTGCTCTACAGTATGCAGTCAAAGGGAAGCAGAGGTGGACACACACGTGTACACACACACACAAACACACACACACCTCCCATGGGAGATGGAGATCAATAGGAATGTCTGATTCCCTCAGCACAGGAGTGAGCAGACCAGCTGCTCATCACAGGAGGGTACACACACGCCTGCGCACAAACACTCGCGTGCACACTCACAGGCACATGCATAGGAAAATAAGGATTACCATTATAAATAACTGAAGCATTTTTAGCAGAAGCGAGTAATTAAAGCCAAATCCCCAGTCCTGTGTTTCTGGGAGCCTTGCCTTCATATTAACAGAAGGTTTGCATATAAGCTGAAGCTGTGACTGTGCTGTGAAGAGGGCTGTAACAGCACAGAGACAATGTGTAATTCTCCCACTTCTCTCTTTTTTTTTCTTCCCTTTTTTGTTTTTCCACCCTCACGCACTCACTCGCTCACTCTTAGCAGCTACAAATCTATCAATGGCTGGCTAGACCAGCTGCAGTGACGAGTCACTCTTTCCAAGCTCTCTTCTGTGACTGTGGGCTTAGTCAAGACCTCTTATACATCTACTTAAACCGTCAGCAGCCTGCTTTTTGTTGTTTGTTCTCCACATTTCTCAAAGTTGGAAAGAAAAGTGTAAGAGCAAAATGTACTACTGAATATCGCTTTAATTCACATCACTTTGCTGGATTTGCTGTCAAATCCAAAACTTTGAAATCAAAGCTTTGGCATGTATACTATGCTCCGCATTGGCATTTCTATACTTTCTTTTTTAATGGCAAAGGCAATTTCCCTAATTGAAGTTGCTGGATTTTTTTTTAGCTTCGTTTCGCAAATAAGCAACCAAATACTGTTAAAATGTTTCTTTTGTTTGTTGAGGGAGGGAAAAAAAAGAAAATCCCTGACGCATCTGCAATGTGTCTGCCTCCCTCCAACTACTTGGCATGCAGCTGTGTGCTTGTGGAATGGGTCCAATCCTGTGTCAGTCAGTCAGTCAGCTAACATGTTGGCAGAGAGGACAGCTTTTGCATTGTGGAAGTATTCACACTTTATTGTGTGCAGGTTTGATATCAAGTGTTTGCTAGGTGCTACTTCACATTTTGAAGATGCACATGCAGGCTAAGGACATCTCTGTAGATGTGGCTAGTTGAGAAAGTTCAGCTCAAAAACTGCAATGGCTAGCTTTTAGCTAAAAATGCAACTTAAATGAAAATTAGCATGCCCGTTGCTTGTTATGTGGTGGAAAGCTACTGTTATCAGCTCACTATGTAATGAGAATGAGAATGTACACTAGGCTCTATACCATGTAGAAGCTAAATGTGTTAGCAGTGTGAAATATGAAATGTAAATACTAAATAGGATGCAGTGATTTGGAAAGCTCATGAAGCCTCATTTTGTCACAACAGAACAGAAAATATATCACATGTTTAAACTGAGAAACTGAAATTGGCAGAGTTTCTCACATGTAAAATGCACAGAGGTTCACCAATAGCAGAAAGCTGCTTCAGCAAATTGTGGAATGATTTCAGAATAATGCTTCTCCGCATAAAATTGTATGTAATATAGCCCCCCCCCTACATTGCTGATCTGATTCGTGCACATACCTCCACTCGTAACCTGAGGTCATCAAACCAAAACCTTTTAGTGGTCCCCCACACTCGTTTTAAAACCCGAGGGGACCGATCTTTCCAAGCTGTTGCACCCAGACTGTGGAATGCACTTCCCCTATTTCTACGGGGTTTGGACTCAGACCTTCAAAAAGCAGCTAAATACATTTTTATTTCAAAAAGCTTTTAATTAGACCAGGGTTTTTATGATGTATTTTATGACTGTATTATGCTTTTACCTTGTAAAGCACTTTGTGACATATGTCTCTGAAAGGTGCTATATAAATAAACTTTACTTATGTACTTACTTAATATCATCAAAAGATTCAGAGAATTTGTAGAAATCTCTGTGCACAGGGCCGAAAAACAAAATTAGATGGTCAGGATCTTTGGGTACTCAGGTGGCTCTGTATTACAAACAGGCCCAATTTTGTCTGTGAACACAATTCACTGTGCCATCCACAAATGCAGGTTCAGGCTCTAACATATGAAGAAGAAGCCATATGTAAACATCACCCAGAAACACTGCCATCTTTTCTGGGCCACAGATCATTTGAAATGGACTAAGGCAAAGTGGGAATCTGTTTTAAGCTGAGAAAAACCCCTATTTTAAATTGGTTTTGGAAAACATGGACATCTATGCCCATCCAGTAGGCCTCAGGACTAAAGAGGATCTGGCTTGTTACCAGCCCTAAGTTCAAAAACCTGCATCTCTGATGGTATGGAGGGTGCACTGTGCAATTGGCTAAGCAGTTGGCAGCTTGCACATCTGGAAAGGCATCATTGATGCTGAAAGGAATATACAGGTTTTAGAGCAACATATTCCCCCAACCAGGAAATATCTTTTTCAGGGAATGTCATACATATTTCAGCAAGACAATGCTAAGATGCTAAGCTGCATCTCTTACACACCTTTGTAGTAAAAGATTCAAAGTAAACACCTCTGACCAACTGAAAAAATGTGTCAAAAATGCAAAGAAGACCCAGGACTGTTAAAGATACATAGACCCGCCCCAACTTCTTTGAGTAGTAGCTGTCCTCAAATTCAGAATGGCCTTATTTTTTTCTTGAAACGGCACATTTTCTCAGCTTAAACATTTGATGTGTTTTCTGTGTTTTATTGTGAATAAATGACGTGTTTATGAGATTTTTCAAATCCTTATTTTCAGTTTTTACTGACACTTCACACACCATTCCAACTTTTGAGGTATTGGGGGTTGTACTCTAATGAGTTACTTTTTGCAACACGTAATGATATGAAATAAAGGATTACTTTTAAATGGCAGGAGTCTCGTGTATCTTCAAGTACTTTTCAAAGTCGAGTTTAGGAAACACTGCACAGGGCAACATTGGCATTACTTTGTAGTCATGTTTCTGTTTTCTTGATGTTGGGCTCTGCTAACCCTTGGCTCAGTATTTTTTAGCTGCTGAAGATTTCTCTATTTTCACCAACTTATGGCCAACTTTGTCTTCTAGCTAAAATGCTCTGGATAACTGTATAATCATTGCAAGGAAAGAAACAACTCCCACTCACTGTCCTGTTACTTGCATATAAACTTTACTGGAAGAACAATGTTTTGGCCCTTAGACCTTTGTCGGGTATCTGAGAGACTATGAGACTGCCAGATACATATGGTCAGCACTTCCTCGGGTGAGGCCAGAAAGTTGAATTTCCAGTAGAGTTAAGTATTACAAGTAAAAGTACATTACACAGGCGTTTTGTCTTCTCTTGCCTATGAATATTTCCTCCTACACTTGTGTTTTGAAGAAACTGACTGTATGAGCCTTTCCGTCAAAATATTTCGATTAATACCTTAGTCAAAGGTTTCGATATCCCGCACAAAGCACACTCTATTTTTGACATCGCCATCCCAAAACAAAGGCGCTCACTACTCATTACGCTAACCAGCACAGATCATAATCTATGAGCTTAAACATCTGAGAACACAGGCACCAACATTCTGTCAGGGAGCCTTCTGGTAACACTTTTTGGCAATCCTTCTCTCCATCTGCCAGGTCTCAAGCCAGCGGACACTAATGCAAATCTACAAGTGTAAATAAAAAAAATCATAATCTCCTCTAATGCAATTCACTGAATTATTGTAGTGCATTAAAACTTTCACTGACAAATCTTAAAACAGGAACAAGAAGGTTTTATTCAAAGTGCAGGGATTTCAAACTAATTTCATATCGTGGGCCACATCAGCCCATTTTGATCTTATATGGACCAGATCAGTGAAACCTCCCCTTTCTGTCAATGTACAGAAATGTATAAAAGTATACCTTAAATCAATGGAAAATCCTAATATAAGAAAAAGAAGAGCAATTTCAACAGTATGTCAGAGTTTTTCTACACGATAAAGAAATGCAGCTGTAGAAAATAAAAGAAATCTCTCAGCATGACTAATTGGGCTTAAATTATAAAACATAAATGTGTAAAAGTATAGAAATCTATAGTTTAATTACTGTGGTGTAATATGAATGGCTATGGGAGAGGCCTTTGTCTGTAGGAAAACCTGTAAAACATGTTAAAAGTTATGTTCTCCTTCACAGTTTCCAAAACCATCCAGTGGGCCAGATTGGAGTCTTCACCAGGCCAATTCTGGCCCCTGAGCCTTACGTTTGACACCCCCTATCATAAAGGAATCTTTCATGAAAACATGCAGCTTGGCGATGCTGAGCATTTTGACTGACATGCCCAAGAATGCACTCGTATAAGACGAACAAACTATAAAAGAATAGATGAAAAAGAATGACATCAAGATTGCGACGAAAACGAGTTTCTAACTGAGCTTTGGGATTGTGACGCACAAGTCAAATCAACCCTTTATTCACATCATTTATGACAATAATCATACTAATTCATATGCCTGTTTGGTGCATTTGTTGGCATCAGCGATGCATAATATCTCCTCGTATTATCAATAGATTCCTATGGGTCGCACAACCATTTTTTTACTTTTGAATAAAACAGCTGCCTGTATAATTTGACCAAATTACATTGGTAGCACAAACGAAAAACTCACTTTTGTTTCCTTGAAAGTGTGTGTGTGTGTGTGTGTGTGTGTGTGTGTGTGTGTGTGTGTGTGTGTGTGTGTGTGTGTGTGTGTGCCCCCAGCGGCAGGGCAAGCTGCATGTTCCAACCCAAGTAATAACCTACATTGAGGAAGTCAGCGGAGGCGGCAGCCCGCATTAGTAAGCACACACCGGAGCAACATAATGAAGCGTCTGGAGTTTTGTATTCTATTTGTGAACAGAACATGCCTATTGTAGGTGAATGACAAAATTAATAGGCAGAAGCAACTCCCAACTGAGACCCAGCGAATAATGAGGTATAAATCAGTCTTCAGTCAGTCAGCAAGCTGTGAGAATGTGTGGAGGCAGGAGGAAACAGTCCCATGCACAACACACATATACGCAGCCTGCACACACGTATACACAGACACACACACATGGCCTGCATATTGTTTTCGGGTTTCTGTTTCAACAGCATATAAATGCCGAAAGAGTTGTTATCCATGCATATGGCTGATATTTCCGGTTCAGATTGCAGAATGCACTGGGGTCAAAGGAAGGGTACATCCTAGGCTGCAAATAAGTTCTTAGCGATTCCTCCCTAACCTGATTTTTTTTCTTTTAATGAATTCCTAAAGAACGCCAGAATACAAACGCAGAACATGTCAGCTTCACTTTTTGAACCCAGAGCTCTCTTCCGTTGAGGCGACCATCTTATGCAACAAGTGCGCAATGTGGTTAGAAATTCAGTACCGTAAAACCATAGAACCACATGTGCTTTGTGCGTATGCGAGACTTACTTTTTCTGCAAGATCCTTGGATGCAAAAATCTCCTGTTGGCAGAAAAGAAGAAAAGAAAGCAAAGAAAGAAAACGTCAGGCACTTTTGTTTTCTTCAACTCATATTTGAGCATGACCATGACCACCATGATTTTCACCTTAATGACTTGATTAGCTAATATTCGGCCATATTGACTCAAACAGATTAGCATTTTGGTGCTGGTGTGATAACACTCTTACCAGAGTCTGATTTCCTTCTCAAATTTGTTTAATCTACATTATTATTATGGTATGTTTCTAGTTCCTTTTAATTCCTGTGCTTTGTTCCTATAAGTAACCAAATGCCCTCAAAAAAATCACAGGGCTCTACATCACATGACATTTTTTCTTTTTAGGAGTGGCATAGAGAAGCTTCTGTTTTCCTATTGCTTGTCCGGCGCATCCCCGTAAATTTATGTTACCATTACAATTCGTTGCATCAGAAGAAGAACAAAGGAGGATGAAATAAGGGCCATCATGGTTGCACACATGGGTCATTATCCTTTATTCTTTATTTTTGGTTTTCATGAAAAAGAAAAAGAGATGAAAGAAGATGAGTAAAGTGAGAGAGAAACCAAACGCTGTAACTCTGGAGCCCTGGGGTAAGTAAAGAGATGGACCCTGCTGTGCACAGTATAAAAAAAAAAAAAAATCAGACAAAATAAATAAATAAGTAAAAACAGCCAACAACAAGAGGGATAGAGGAAGCACAGAACGCTGAGCGGAAACAACCTGTTCCAAGATGGAAAGTTGGGAAGTGAACAATAAGAAAGCATGTCAGTAAAGGGAAGAGGGGAGAAGTCGTTTTTATGGCTGGTGTTAGACCTCATCATAAAAAGTCCAAGAGATACACGATGGGGAAACGAAACACAAAGGACTATTGAGTCTATTGAGGACTAGACGACCTTTTGGGGGTGCTGGGTTGAAAGCAAGAAAAAGAGGTTTCCAGTGGTCAAAGATAAGAAACACTGAGGGTGAGATTTGTTATACTTCAGAAAGGCAGTACCTGCTGTGACCACATGCCTGTGTGGGTTCACTCCAGGCACTCTGGCTTCCTTTCACAGTCCAAAGATATGCATTATACTGAAGGTTAAGTGGTGATTTTACATTTGGCGTAGGTGTGAATGTGAGTGTGAATGGTCGCACTTTCTTAGCCCCGACAGCCTGGCAGCCTGTCTAGCATATCACCAGGGTAAGGGGAGGTTATGCAACTGAGATTTCAGGATATGATAAAGGACAAAATCAGGATATAATAAAGAAAAAAATGAACTGGTGATTACAAGATCTGAAAGGTGGGTAAATACAAAACCAAATGACATATTACACCATGTCATTATTATTTTATGAAAATAAACAATAATCTACAATAATGTTATAGAAGCAACAATTGCTGGGCGCCAGTCTTTAAAGGGTTATAAGCAAACTTCCAAACAATTTGACATCCATGATTCTAAAGTGAGAGAGCATTCCCAAGTGAAAGAAATTCCCATATTCCAAGGAGTGATCATCACACTAACTTCACCCCAAAGTCAGGCATTGCTCAACGAAGCTCCAAAATCCAAAGAGCTACAGTCCACAGGCCTCAGTTAGCATGCGTAATGTTAAAGTTCGAAAAAGACTTAACAAGTATGGCTTGCTTGGAAGGGTTGCAAGGAGAAAGCATCTCTCTTACAGGAGCGTATCAACATGGCTTAGGTTGCAAAGTTGCATCTAAAACAACCACAAGACCTTTGGATTATTGTCCTTTGGATAGATGAGAACAAAGTGGACATGTTTGGCCATAATGCAAAGTACTTTTGTTTGGTGAAAGTCAAACGTCAGTACTAACACCTCTTACCAACTGTCAAGCATGGTGATGGAGGCGTGACGATTTTGGCTCTAGACACCTTACAGTCAGTGAGTCAGCTAAAGCTGTGCTGAAATTAGAACAGAATGGTTGAAAAAGAAAAGAATCAAGGTGTTGCAATGGTCCAGTCAAAGTCTAGACTTCAACCTGATTGAAATGTTGTGGTGAGATGTTAAGAGAGCTGTACATAAAAAATGCCTACAAATGTTGATGAACAAAATCAAGATTGTAAAGAAGAGTGGGCCTAAATTCCACAGCATTGTGTTAAGTTATACAAAAAGCTGATTAGTTTAATATACTATACTATACCATACTGCTAAATGTGGTTCTAGAAGGTACAGAATCAGGGGTGTACTTAGTTTTTCATGCGCTGCGTCTGCATTTTGGCTTAGTTTTTGTTAAATAAACAATGACATGTGCAATACTGTTGTTGTTTATTTCACGCTGTATTTAACTAATCTTAAGAGCTATATTATTTTTTAATACATAATGAAAGAGGCATTCCAGTATATAGATTTGAACAGTTCTTGGATGAGTTTTGTGTTGAATATTTCTTTCCACATGCATGAAGAGTTGGAACAAGCTGAGCTAAAGCAGGTGTATGCATAAATCAGATGTGAGGTAGGGAAGGAACAGAATATTTTACAATTTTTTTTTAATTTAAGTTTTGCTTAAAAAACATAATGATCATAAAAAATGCTCACTTTGATGACCTAAGCTGAGTTTCTTTCAATAGCTTTATATTCATATTATGCCTCTGTTACCTGAAATCTTCAGGTTCAGTCTTTATCCTTAAAAAGCACATAAACACAACAAAAAATAGCCCAAAAGCTACACAGAAAGCAATTCGTCCATCAACGGGTTTTGTCACCAAGTGTTGAACCATGCTAAGTGCTAAGTGACATAACTTCGCAGGTCCCTCTAGAGCCACGGTGTACAACTTTTACTCCAGCCACTCTAAAACAACTTTCATGTTTAGAAGTAGTAGAAGGCTATTTGTAGATGAAAAAGAAAGGAATCCACGTCTAGAGAAGTTGTTTTTCGAGTCTCTTCACATATGACATGGTTAACTTGCTGTCTCTCTGTTAATCCAAGATTAATGGTTGCTCTGGTATGCATCAATAACATCTGGCTCACACACTGGAATCTTGGATTTCACAGTTTATTTAGGGTGTACAAAAGTGATACACAGATGAAATTAGAATTACCAGTCTTTGAGCGCTATGCTATTTTAAAAAACAAAAAGAGAGAGAGAGAGAACGGGTACAGTAGAGATAAAAACATTAATCATAATAAGACTAAATGTCTTGTTACCTAAAAGCAGTCAGTCTACTAGAACTTATAATAGCAGAAAAGGCGAGAAAGAGTGAAAGGTGAGGAAACCATCTATGGGACTGATTACTGTCTTAGAATCTGCCAGTTTTAAGTTAGCATAATTAGATACATGTCCCATTAATATGAATAATAAAACAGGCAGCTGTGAAAACAAAAATAAATTGCCTGTATGTTACTGGAAGAACTTCCACATACCAAGCGATATTAAAGCAAGAACAAAAAATAAATTTTGAAAAGTATTGTGACAATTTGTGGAAAAAATGTCTCCCATGTGCTGCATAAGGCTCTATTTGTCATGCGTTGGACCCTGCTCACAGACACTTTGAACAATTGCTACCAGCAGACTTTACTGAACAGAAGTCACAGAAAATGACAAAATGATAAAGACTACTGCAGAGCAGAAAACATGTTGTCCATGGTGGAGCTTCAACGGAGAACAACAAAGCCATTTGGTACAAGTCCTGCTGGCCGGCGTTTGCTTGCCAGCAGGAGCATCTCAGACAGCTCAAACTGCCTGAAGAACAAAGTTGTGGCCAAGTGTATGTCTGTGTTTGTCTGTGTTATTTCTATGCCTGATGAGAGGCGGGGGGGAGATAATTCACGATCCAAGAGACAAGGGTTTGTTTTTTCCCCCCCCCCTTCATTTTGTTCCTAGAGTAAAGTGTTTGTCATTGGTATTAGAAATACTTGGGCATAAGAAGCGAATCTGCTGTGTACGGTAATTGGTGCATGTGTGTCTCCTCGTAGTTTCCGCATGACATCGATTCATTATCCTAATGTCCACCTGGAGGGTAAAAAAAGATGCTTTCCTCCATTTACTCTGCCATAGTTCTTCAGTAGCCAAACATGTTTTCTTTGGTGGGTCATTTAAACTGATGCTCGACAAATAACTTACATAGGTAGGAGAATAAGAGGAGGGATATTCCTTTTCCATGAGATACGTTCAAGTGGACTTCAAGCAGGAATATCTTGTTGACTCTGGGGTGGGTTTTTTTTGGCTTTTTCTTCTTCTGAGAGGTGATTACAATATTTTCTGGACAGTAAGACGATATTAAATCAATGCTGGCTGTTCATCTAAATCATCATTACCCATATGGAAAAGATATATATAAATCTTATAAAGTTTGTATCTGTCTTGTGTGAAACTTGTATGAAAAGCATACAAGAGTGAAAACAGATATAAGATCCCTTGAAAAATTATAAAATGAAACTTGTATGTTTTTGATACTTACTAAAACAATGTATGAAAGTAATGAGAAAGTGGCCACTTTCATGAGTAATCACATATAAGTTTTTACTATTTCTTTTCCATATGGGTATGGTTGGGTTAAAGTTAAATAAATCTTGAACTAACGTTAGAAAATATAGTATAGAGTAGTAAGTGTAGAGTAGGTGGCAACAAAAAGGTTGAAAAGTCATAAAGTTACAGTTGATCTAAAAAAAATAAAGCTATTATCGTTTGGACTATTCCATTTCACCCCTCTCCCAATGGTGCATCCCATTTGTCCACTATTGAAAAGTCATTGATTTATAGTTGACTGGTAAATAGTATTTAAAAAACCATGGGAAAGAACATTTCTGCATGTCCTCTATAAATACATCGGATAAGGACTCACGCAAAAGTAACTCTGCTCGGTTTATCATCGCACTCCCAGCACATCGTGCCTCGACCTCCCGGTCGGCTTCGAGCTGAGAAGAAAAAACATTCGCGAGATCTCGCAAGACTTCAGCTTTATTTTTTTTTCTCCAATGTCCCCTGCGGGGCTCCGTAGTGACACATACTGGAGATGTGTGAGTTTGACAGTGGTGATTATTAGACTCTTCTAAAGTGTCACTAACTGACTTTTTCTTGCCAATATAACTTTGATGTCACGATTATGTACACCAGATCTCAAGAGAGAGAGCAAGAGGAAGACAGACTCACATTAACATACATTAAGTAAAAAAAAAAAAAATCAAAATCTGAACAAAGTATGCTCCTTTCATACTTTTTTCATATGTTTTATTCACTTTATGGTTTTGTGATGTCTTTTGTAGATGTGGTGATTACAAATGGAGGCAGTGACAGTCTGAGAATTCTCCTTGACAGACAGTGTAGGAGTGAATCCACTAAAACTTATTTTAAACTAATGTTGATTTAATAAATTAAATACATTTGTACAAGTAGTACAACATTTTGAAGTATTATCAGTAACTTGCTATGCTTACATCAGTTGAAATACCACTGACGTCCTATTGATCTTTAGTAGTGGTGTCCACATGGTTTATAATTGCCAAGTGTGTGCTGCTGTTCTGTGATTATTGTGTAATTATTATTATTATTATTTTTATCTCTAAGCAACTAGAAATTTCTCGCTTTGTGTTTGTACATGTGTTGTGCATCGGTAGTCTTACCTGGTTAAATGTGTTGTCCAACAGGTCGTTTTCAGCAGCACGGCGGCTCTTGGGAGCATCAGGAGGGCACTGCAAGAGAGCAAAGACAAGATTTAGATCACTAAGGTCAAATTTCTGCTTTGGGTAGGATGTAAAATTTGGTTAAAATCATGTTTTACCAACTTTAAGAGATGCTTGGGATAAGTCCCTTCTGATAAGAAGCGCTCACATTCAAATAACATAATAGTGGCTGACTTTGTGTGTAGAAACAAAATCTGCTCTTATGTAGTTGCGTTTCAAGACGCTGCAACTTTCATGGGTGTGCGTATACACATATGTATGTGCTCCTCCACTTCTCATTTCAAATTTAAACGCCGCTTGGAGGAGGCCCTGCAGCACACACGCCATGAGCAAAGGAGAAGAGGTTTTCGTCTTCAAACCCTCTAATCAATTTTACAGGATCCAATCCCTCCTCCAGAGGCCTCTGCATTTTCAAACTTCTGAAGGAGCTTCTCACCCTGTTTGTATCCCTCCCATGAATTCATCTGGTAATGAAAAAGGCACATATGCATGCACGAAACGACACGCAAGCAAAGACAACCCTGGAGAATTGCTACAAAAAGTTGGGTGAATTCATGAAATACCTTCAGCTTAAAAATAAACTCTGAACTGGCTGTTTACAATTCTTCCCATGAACAACTGCTTGCTCAACACACTTTTATGGGGTTTTCAGTCCAATGCATCTGTTTTCTATTTGATAAGGTGCTTGTCTGAAGTTTGCAAACAATAACCGCTCAAAAACACAGAAGAAAAGAGGTAGACAGGCAAGAGAAAGACAACGAACTATAAAAACAATGAAACAGAATAGAAAATGGCTTCTGGAAGGTGCGACAAGGAACGTGAATGTTCGAAAATGGCTTTTAGTCACACCTTAAGCTAATAATATTGGCAAATCACATTTTATGTGCAAATAACCAAATTAAATTCTTGTCGATTAACATATTATAGATTCAAACAAAGTTTCTGGAGCAGAATTAAGACAATAATCTTAGTCAAACAGCTGATGGAGTCCTATAAAAATATGGGCTTCCTGCATACCATGATCTGCAGCCAAGTTTTTTTCTTCCTTTCTGACCACCAAAAATAAGTGGAGGGGGAAAAACAGAATAGAGCATTATAAAGACAAAGCATTGCTGATTAACAAAAAAAACCCATAAAGTCTCAAGAGAAATTGCAGAGACTTTTTTTTAATGGTATTTAATTTGGATAATGCAGACTCAGCTTTTCTTGCAGCTGTTTAACAGTAAAAGCCATCCAACAGATTACTTTTACTGTCATGGAGCTGCGACAAGTGCTGAGTTACAGTCACCGGGGCTCAGTTCAGCTCAGCTTTGGTTCAACAAAAGTAAGAGTCTGCCCCAAATTTACATTCAGTCAGGTTTACAAAACAACTCTTTTTTACTTTATTTGAATTTTTAATGAACTTCGGGTTTAAACAAGCCAAAGATCTTCAAACAGAAATAACAGCATTACTGCTAACACAACTCAAAGCTAGCCAAGAAGCCAGAATTCTGTTGAAGCTGAGTGTATGCTAACACCAGCCCAGCAGCCAGATCCTCATCTTCAACAGGTAACAAAAGCAGTGATGAACAGTCAGGCTTGCAGCCTCCATTTCTGTGGTGATTGCTTTAAAGTTTTTGTGCCCCAACACTGGTCTAATTTGATAGTGTTTGGAGATGTCAGTAAGTAGATTTCTTTTGTGTTCCAACAGCGTTAAGCTAGCTCTTTTGTGCGCTAAGCAGCTTTTTTTTTTATGCTAAAGTAGGGCATGCTGTAAAGTGCACGTAGACGCAGAAAGAAAGCAACGATTTTCCCAAAAAGCTAAAGTTTTCATTTAAACTCTTTGCTATTAGCCTCTGCTCCATACAAAGTTATAGTTGCTGGTAAAGACAGTAAGGGTTTCCACTCTCACCCGTGCCCCAGGTATTTCACAGCAGGCCTCGTGCATGGCAAGTGAGGGGTCACAATACAGCATTGCCTGCTGAATATCCATCTGCAAAAAACAGACAGACAGAGAGAGGATAGTAAATACAGTGTTGGATATGGCGGTGTCTAAGGGTACTTTGCTTTGTTTATTTTATTAAGAACATCAAGTGTAAATGAGGCAGTAAACATGGCTGAGAGTCAATTAATTTCTCATTAATGTAAAGCAATGGAAAATCACTTCATCAGATGCTTCCTGTGAATGTCTGCGGTTGTGTGAGAGTGTGCGTGTGTTCCCCCCTGAACTGACAAAAGTGGCCTAGCTGTTTTCCCAGCTAGGCCGGTTAACCGATCATTAAATTAATTGTCCGGATTACTGGATCTGTTTAGCACTAATAGTCTCAATTCACTACATATATTCGCTTATGTTTTTAAATCAGGACTCATTGAGATTGTCTTAAAGGAATGAAAACCTTATGGGTGTAGAACAGACGCATATACACATACATATAAGCTTAAATATCTATGATTTCAGTTGAAAGGCATTTATGGGAGGATGGTAGGGAATGTCTTTTTTCCTGGATAAATGCTTCGATAAAGTGGTGAAATTCTAAATGTCAGGGGTCTACTGTGTTATATTACTCAACTGTGCTCTAGGATGCCCTCATCTGTGGCACTAACCTCAACCTGGCTCATTCATAACACCTCTGAAACAGTTTGTTCCTCATACAGAGAGAGACTAAAGGTCACCATATGCTCAAATAGTAACTTGAGATGACATTTACGTTGCAAACCTTAATCTTAATCAAAAGCTCCTCAACAGTCAAGACCGTGAAGTCAAGCGTGTGATATTTCTTTGCCTAATGTCCCTCTATTTTCCCAGTAGACCATTTTTAAAAGCATGGAATGGCCAAGCACTAGCTAAAAAAAGTCTACCCTTGGCAAACCTTGGGCTTTGCTTGCAGTTGTATTGAATGTTTTAGAGGAGTTAAAAAAAACTAAATTTAACTTGTGATTGATACCGTCTATAAAAAACAAGACTTAATTTTTTGGGTGGAAAAAAAATGTTCCAATCTTGCTTAATTCACAACACTGAAACATGCTCAGGAGGCTCAAAAGGACAACTGCAAACTCTGGTAACTGGTGTGTTTTAATCTGGCTTCGAGTTCTGTCGACCACTTTATTTTAATCAATGTGCTGGCGGCAGATTGCACCGCTCTCCATTTGTTTTGCACCCAGCTTTGTGAAAGAAGCCTCACTGTTGAAATTGGGAACACCTAAGTCACGCCACAGAAGGAAAAAAACAGATCACGTCGCTCCATTTTCTGCATATTTATGAACTGAGTTTGAGGACTGATTTTAAAATATGGCTAAGGCTTTCCACAATCAGGCTCTCGGTTACGTTGCTGATATTTTAATCCCTATAGAGTCCTCTGGTAGAAGTCTCCTGGTTTTTTCCAGCCACTCACTTTGTTACTCGGGGTGAATGAGACCTTGCTGTTCGTGTCTCAGCATTGGAGCTTTCTTCCTGAGCATCCCAAGTAAATCAAAAGCAGCTTTTAGGGTTCCCCTCTGTAAAACCATAAGAGCACTGAATGTTTAGCCCAAATGTGGCCCTATTTTATGGGTCTCATTTAGTCTTTACTTATAACGCTGACTCAGATTGTCTAACTCTGCCAAAGTCCATCTGATAGGGGCCAGATGTTAGATATGTTTCAACCATTTGGGACACATCTGGCGCACACACCATTTGCTAATGCCAGATTAGGTCCAACTGTATCTACTATCTAGGAAGTGTCTTTACTGAGGTTTTCCTGTTAACTATACATGTAAGTTTTTTATATCCTGTGTGTTTATGATTTTCTGTATTTTTTTTAAATTGTTGTTTATTGTTGACACTATAAAAATAAAATTATTATATTTTTTATTAATCTCATACTTGCACAGCCCCAGCATCTGACGCCCGAATACCCAGCAGAGTGTGTCCATCAGAGGGAAGGGCTCCTCTGCGCTCCAGGGGTTTGGTCTCAATTGAGCTGCAATCCACATGGAGGGAAGCAGCTCCGTGTTGGACACTGAGGGCCAACTTGTGCCAGTGCAGATCCATCAAGGCTTCCACTCCCTCTCCAGTGAAAACGCAACCCACCAGGTCCGCTGAAGGGTTTGCCCCTTTGGCTCGAAAGGACAGGGTGCGATCTGGGCCGCTGACGTCTACGGAGAGCTGGGTTTTAGTTGGAGGCAAAGAACAGGATAAATGAGGTGGCATTGTACCAGTTAAACTCAAAATAATGCAAATAGGTAAAACAAAAAGAAGTATATCTCAAAGTGTTTGACTGGCAGTGGTTTCAACAAACTTTAATACAGTACGTACACGTGATTACCACCTAACAAACCTGTACAATTGACTAGCAAAGGGGAAAGACATATTAATTACACACACAAGCAGTACAGCCAATCAATCACTGCTAATGAGGCGACTTGGCCTCCATCCATCATACACGCCAAGTATTTAAATCTGGCCTCCAACTCTTAGTGATTATCGGGACTCCGAGGGACTCCAGTGCTTCATCATGGAACACAAGTGAATAACAATGAAGGTGAATGAAAGAGGAGAGTCGGAGATGATCGAAAGAAGACTGACAAAGAGACAGGGAGCAAAAGAGAGGGTATCGGATGAAAAATACGAGGGGACAAAAGCCGTATGGAATGAAAGAGGGGGGAGAAAATTGAAAAGATGTCACAAGAGAAAAGAAATCGAAAGGGAAAGTGGATGACTATGCAAGAGAGAGATGAGCGGCGGAGAGAATGAAAAGACAAAAAAGTGAGAGGGATAAAAAGGTGAAAGATCAAGGGAGAAGCAAGTAATGAGAGAACAGAAGGAAAGAGAGTAGTGAGGGGGAGGGGGAGAAAGTGTAAAACTGAGGAAATGATGAGGGAGCCGCACCTGTGGATATCCCTGCGCATCCGATATCTGAAAGAGGTAGATGGTGTCTCTCAAGGCAGCCTTCTTTAACGCCAGGGTGAAGACCAGAGTGAACTCCTCTGGCAGGCCATAGGGGAACACCTGGCTGGAGCACAGAAGTTCAGAGGGGTCAGATCCAAGACACTCCTCTATTCACAGGAGCTGCAAACTGTGAAGCTGCACACAGAGAATGATTAAAGAGGGACTTCTCCAGTTTTACACTAAAAGCTCATGGAGAGTGCTAGCCTCTCACACTTTAGAGAATTCACTGAGAACAAGCAACAAAAGTATTTTTTAAAAATAAGAAAATAGCTAAACTACAAAGGGCTTGTGCTACAAACTAAAAACATAAAGTTTAAAGTTATGTGTTTTTGATGCTTCTTTGGAGCATTACTCTCTTTATCGGAGGAGAAATGAAAAAGGCAGAAAAAACAGGAAAAGAAAAACTGGAATATTCACGGTTTACGAGTCTATGAAGAATAGAAAACTAAAACTACAGTCATAAGTTCTCCCAGTGATTGCTAACAAAAGGTGTTATGAAGTCATTCCATTGTTTTGGGAAATAGATTTGTATCCAGTGCTTTTGGTGCTTATTAGCCAGTAAAGGTTTGGATGTCTCAACTTCCTTTATATCAGATTTTGAGACACAAACAGTTCTTATCATTTCTATGCTGATGATTTTCTGCTTTATATCACTTTTAAGCCTCAATGTGTTTTAAAGCTTTTGAACTGCATAAAAGCCTGGATGTTATGTAATTTTCTCCAGCTGACTGAGAATAAAACAAAGATCGTTGTGTGCATCTCTGCCTGCCTAGTCCCCCAGGTCCTTAGAAATCTGGGTTCCCTCTCCTGTTATGTCCTGTTTATGTTATCTATTAGAGACCCGGGAATGACTGTTGATGAGAACCAGATGTTAAGGTTGGATTTGAATGTTAAGGCTCTAGTTTGTTCTTGTTTTCATCATCAGAGAACTATAATACATTTTCATCCTACTGCAATTGCTCTGCATCATATTTAGAAATTAATTCAAAGTTGTGCTGTTCACCTTTTGGGTTCTGCATAAAGTACCCACCTATATTGGCAAATTTTAATACCATATGTCACCAGCAAGACTCTCAGGTCTTCTGATCAGGGCTAATCGTCCATCCTGAAATGTATAATAAAAACTAAAGGTGATGGAGACATTGCAGTAGTGGCCCCCACTCTCTAGAATTCTCTCCCATCCAGTTTATTTTCTGTGAGCTTATCTGTGTATGCATTCAAAGGCAGCTGAAGACTCATCTTTTTAAATTGGCATTTAAAAAGATGAAACTGCAGCCTGCAACCCTGTACTGCAGCACCACTAAATAATTTGCATGTGTAGAAATCTTTATAGGTGTGTATACTATGTGTATTTATGGGTTACGAATATATGTACCAACCTACTGATGGTTATTGTGTGTTATTTGCAAACCACGTCTTCACATGAAGACAGTGAGTAACCAGAGAGTTGCCATCTCATTTAATTGGGCTTTTACTCATAGGGACAAATCTTTGGGCTCATATATCTTTCCTTCACATCCTCATGAGCACAGAGTAACAAAGTAATCCTGTGTGTGTTTGTGTATTTACACACTTCTGCGTGAGTCCTGTTCTTTTCCATGCATGTTCCCATTACGTTTCTATTTTTTTCTTTCTTTTTTTTTTGCACTATACGTTTTGTGACTGCAGTACAATGCAAAGCCCGTGTGTTACCCTTTGGCATTAATTTTCATAGCAGATACAGTCCGGCAAGCCTCATCTCTCAGTTGCTGGTCAAGGGCACCTAAGCACATAAATATAATACACATACGCACACACACGCATTCACTGCTTGGAAGTGTGCAGATGTATTGAGAGATGAAGGAGCAGCTGGTTTCCCCTTCCTAGAAGTGGGGTGACAGTGATTTATAACTGAGGAAAGATCCAAGGGAAAACAGCCAACTACAGGATGTCAAAACAAAGCGAAGATGAGTGGAAGAAAAGGGTGATAAAGAAAAACACATGAAAGAAAGCAAGTGAAAGATGAGAGAGTAGAAAACTTGGTACAATATGAAGATGCATGAGAATTTGCCTTTAACTAATCCGCACATAGGTAGAGATAATATATAGGAAACTCTGGGGTTCACACAACTTGTGGAAATGAAATGGAAAAAGCACACGCAAGAAATAGAAACAGACAGGGAAATGGAGAGGAGAGACAGAAAATCCAATGTTGAGAACACAGTTGTTTTGCTGTCGATTAGTGACATGAGCTGCAGGGCACAAAAGCACTCATAGTACGGAGACTATTGACTTTTAAGTTGGAAGTACTGCAACTTGGCCTATTATGTTCAGGGTCAGACATATACACACAAACATACAACGGGGAGATAAATCACTCACTGCGGGGCCCAGCAGATTCAGATCTAGACTCTAACTCTGAGAGAAAGTTACTTGTTAAAAAAACAGAAAAGAGAGAGAGAGAAAGAGGAAGGCGGCAGAAGAAAGTCTCTGTGAGCCAGAGAGGCACAGGGGAAGATGGGAAGAAGAAATCTAATGTTGAAATAGCAGATCTCTAGTTTAAGATGAGAATATCACCTGGAGAGGAATACAGACACCCTTATATTGGGTTCTAACTGTGCTGGAATCAATTGCTTTCAGTGGAGAGGACTTCTATCCCTGATGGTTTTATACACAACTAAACGTAAGGAATTTTAAACAGCTAGAACCTGACACATACACAAAAAAAGGGAAAAAGCACAATTTCAAGCTATAGCGGACATATACTTTTTCCTTTAATGCTAACATTAGCATGCTTGGATTTCCACAATGACAATGCTTGCATGCTGATTTTACAGCTGAAGCTGATAGGAAAAAAATAAAAAAAATAAATTCTATCACAATCCTTCTTGAGAGGACAGTCAATGTATGATTTAAATTTCATCAATTTCATCTATCCGTGAGTGGAGAGTTTTCTTTCAGAACCACAAATGTCAGTGTCTTGTGCTAGCTGAAACGCCAGGGGATTACCAACATCTTTAGGATTGATCCTCTGGGCACCTTGGCTGCCTCTACAAATTTGTATCAGATGATATGTCAGTCAATTTGACAGCTGCCAGACATTTCACTAAAAGCAAAAATACGTCTTCCTGCTGGCAGAGCTAGAGGGTAAACCAAGGTGATCAGTGGAGCAATTACAATATATTCTCTGAAGACCACAAATATCAGTCCAAGGGTTACAGCAATCCATCCTGTAGTTTCTGAGATGTTCTGGTTCAGACCTAAGCAGTGGAACAACCAATCTGACCGATACTGACATCCCCAGAGGCAGGTGACAGCACTGCTAATAAATGATGTTCCAGAGCCCCGCCCCCATCTAGAAAAATGACATTTAAGCTGTTGCAGAAAGTTTGATTTAGAGAAGAGAAAAAAGATCAAATCCTACACAGTAAGAGTGTTACAGACAACAATAGCTAGGAGTATATATGTCTCTCCTTACCGAGTTATCCCGAATCTGCCTTTTTTCTTCAAAAATACAGCTGCAACTTATCTTTGCTCTTTTGCTTTTTCATGAGCCCCCACCACTTCAATCTCTTGATCTTAATACTATAAATTTGTAACTACTTTCTTTTTAATAAGAGCAGCATCAATTTTTAAATTAAACTACAAATTGTACCACTCCTGCTGGGTGATAGTGAGTCTCAAATTCGTTAAACGCATCTCATTTCTGACTTAAATAGCTTCCACCATGGCCTCATTCCATAACATTACAGGACTTCTATACACTAGAGCTGCATAACAGAAACACGCTCGAAGCAACCACATTATATTTCTCTGAAATTAAAATGCGTGTGACCAGTTGTGACCGGTGCCCATTTCACTGTCAGCAGACAGCTGAGAGAGGCGGGAGACGAGTAGCTTCGTCTGACTGTCACTCATTTGCATTAGCTTGGATTAGCCTGGGATACAAAGCAAAACACCACTTTCCAATTACAGAACACACGTCCTTCACTTGAGTCGGCCTCACAGGAAATGAATTAAAAAGCCGTGTGAGTGACAGCGAGTCGGAGCTGGATGTGCGTTGTTTGTTACTTAGTTTTACAAACACCCCATGCAGCCTGACCTTGCATGAAAAAAGGGGTCAAATCTAACGCAAGATGCCACATCTATGCAGAGCAACACACACATATGCTTGCAGGGACACACAAATACTGTACTGCGAAAAGTCTTGAGACGAACCTCATTTCTTCATATTTTGCCAGGAAAATGGTAAATAGGTGCAGTTGTGTATTAAACTACTTCTTCAGTAAGATGGAAATAGAGCACATGAGGAAGAAAACAGTGTTTGAACAATTCTAACAAGTTTGAAAGTTGATATTTGGTATGGCCACCTTCATCCTTCGACACAGCCTGAACTCTCTTTAAGCTTTCTCGTAATTTCTTTAAGAAGGCTTCAGAATAGTTCTCCAGGCTTCTTGAAGGACATTTAAAGCTCTTCTTTGGATGGTGGCTGCCTTTTGTTCCATTCCCTGTCAACATGATCCCACACTGCTTAAATAATGTTGAAGTCTGAGCTCGGGGGAGATTAATCCATGACTGATAGTGTTCCACTGTGTTTTTTCTATCCAGGTTTTACAGTAGTGGCAGTGTGTTAGTGATCATCACCATACTGAAAAATGAAGCTGTTGCCAAAGAGACACTTTCTAGATGGAATTGCATGACAGATCAAATATGACTGTACTTTTCTGCATTCATAGTTCGACAACTGGCTACAATACAGCCCCAAACCGGTACTGGTTTTATTTTGTTGTATTTATCCACGACATCTTAAAGGCCAGTCCGTGAAAATATTGTCGGACATAAACTGGTCCGTGGCACAAAAAAGGTTGGGGACCACTGCTATAGACGATGGTTTAAAACTCCACGTAACCTGTTTCCACTGAGTTTCAGTCCAGTTCTCCTATAATTTGACTTTCAGATACTGTTCTTCTGCATTGTTCTTCTGGACTTAACCCTTAACTACATCCTTTAAAGTCTTGTGCACCTGCACTCTTCTATTCAAATATTGGTAACCTGTTCAAAAATTGAAATGGATGCAAGTTAAAGTCATGAGTAAAAAAATTATACAACCAAATAACAAAGAAGAAAATTAGCATTCATAGCCATTAGACAATAGCCCTTATTTGATTTGCCTGTCTCAGATTTGGTTTAATTATTTAGAGAACCCCATAAATGACAGTGAGTTCTATGTATAGAGCAATTCAAGCAAAGTGAAAGGTACCCAGAAGGCAAAGCTGATGTGCTAACATTGATTATTTTCTGTCTCAGTTAAAAAGAAGTCGCCCAGGTAGCGTTCTTCACTGATAAAACTGACAGCGGAGCTCTCGGTGGCATCGAAATTTCAATAATCACAAAATCCCAAACGAGCAGCAGGGAAGAGATGGCGTTCCCATCCTTTCTTTGTATGGTTAGAGGCAAAACAAAAACATCTTGGTATTTCCTCTTTGGCTCCTAAGATGCTGATTTCCCAAGAAGTGACAGTTGTTTTTTCAGTTTTTCTCGCCCCTTTTTCATAAGTACGACTACTCTCCAAGTCTGTGATAAACAATATATGTGACACTTTTAGAACAAAACGTCTCAACCGAAAAGAGTGGACAGATTTATCGGGCCTTTCAAGTGAGCGGAGCTCACGGCTCGCAGCGCTGGACAGAGTGATAAAATACTGCGCGCTGACCCAATTGGCACGTTGTGAAATACTGCTTTATCGGTGGGCAGAGAGAAGCTCATCCAGCCGGAAAAACAGCCAGCACAGAACTCTAATAAGCAATTTTCACACAATTCCAAACACAGTCTACACCCGACTGCTGTGTAATAACAACGTGAACACCCCGAGAAGGCATAATTACACCATGTCAAGCTGCAAAAAGCACGGAAGGGAGTGAAGCCATGAGTTGCTGCATTTTATGGCTGCGGGTCACTTCATGTAGAAACAAGTTAAGAACAAGCTGCCCAATACGGCCTTTAAAGTCTTTTTTTTCCCTCTTTCCAGCTAACTGTGGCCCACCTTCTAATTAAGACGTCACTCTTATAGTTTCTGTTCAGGCAAATAAGTCATGCATTTCATTATGAAAGCTAGTTATAATAAGTACATGCGGTTGCAAGTGGGAAACCAACAAGCTGTTACAGCCCAGTTTACAAGCCAGGGTTGGTGGTGAGGGAAATGAATGGGTATTTCTGGAAATGCAATCACAGCTTGACCCACGACATACAGATCGCCAAGATTCTGCTTTTTTTTTTTCTCCTTTTCCTTTTTTTAAAACACACTGCACTGCGCTGACATGTTGAGTGAGAGTTCAGAGGCCGAAGAGCCGAGGGTTTTCAGTTTCTCTGCCATCCTCTTTGTTCAGATATGACATGGAAACAGAGAGCCCGTCCACACAGGCCTCTAGAAAGCTGGAAAACCTGCAGAACTTCACTAATTCTTTCCCAGTAAAACATCTTCAACGATCTAAAGCTCCACGCTGCGTGCTCGTGCACGGGTTTGTCCGCAGATGCGCGGAGAAACAGATGAAACAGATGTACAGCGGACTTACTCGCTGGGTCGTAAGAGCGCAGTCTTGCCCAAGCGGAGGATGACAGCTCCTCGAGGGTTACGGATCTTCTTGACATCTTTGCTCTTGAGCAGGGAAAATCGCCTCACCAGATTAAAACCTGCAAAGGGTAAGGCATTCGTGAGCAGCCACACCAAATAAAAGTCACATAGCAGCTGGTGTGTTTGGAGCTCATCTATTAACCGGTGATGTTGGTCCTGGCGCTCTGGGGAAACTTCCAGTCCTCCACTTGTAAGGACGGGCACTGCACATCTGAAATGCAAGGGGAAAAAAAGAAATTAAAAAGGGGGGTATCTAATAAGTGAAAAACCTCGACACGTACTGTAAGACAAGCATGTAAAGAAGTTGGTTCAGAAGCTGTGTCAAATATAACCTCTGACACTTATTACTGAGTGAAACGGACAGAAGTTTTGTTTTAAAAAAAAAAAGAGAGTCAGCAGCTTCAAACATATACATTTGAGAGTAACAGAAATATTGATCTGGTGGAAGGAGAATGGGAGTTGGTGGGGGTGAAAGAGAGTCCGAATGAAAAAAGAAAAAAAAAATACAGTGTAAAACACAGAGAAGAAGATGAAATGAGGGCAAAGCTATGCCGAGTGGAACACAAGCCAGCCTGACAGGTTGTCTCGCACCAAGCTTGTCTGTCGCGGTTGCCTCCGTTTGATGGATGTGTTCTCACCCTGTCAGGGGAGGTTGCAGAGAAAAGTGTTGCCTGTCAGAGCGGACTGCCTGACTACAGGGAGGTGGGTGGGGGTGGGGGTGAAACCGGGCAAGCACAGGTAGACGTGGGCCCTGTGAAACGCTATGATCCACCCTTAATTGATCTCTTTGGGGCCAAGGAGCAAGACATACTGCTGGGCTCAGTTTTGAGATTTTTCTTTTATTATGACTGCAGATAATATGAATGCGAGGCCCTGAATTAATACAAAACTACCTCTTTTGCTGATTGGTTTTCGAAATCATTCACGTGTGCCGAAACTCAGGATGAGAGATTTTAGTTTCTGCCCCGTCAATCAGAAGGATGGTCATATTTGACAAACTTAAAGACTATTTTTATGTGACAAAATAACTGTATTCCATTAAAATGTTGCCTTTTTGATATAACTGGACATCTTGTAAGTCCCTATTTAAAAGCGCGTGTAGAGATAAAGGTGAATGACTTCAGAAGATGATGTGCTTTTTCAATCGCTTATTCAGGGAAAAACATCAACAGAAGTAAGACTCTCTACAAATGTAATTACCCCCCGGCTTTAAAAGCTAGCATTGCCCACTTCAGTAGAAATAACTCTGCGGCAATTTGCATAATTGCACACCAGTCTCTGACACCTTGCTGAAAATATTCTTTCAGCTGCAAGACGTTTGAAGAGTTTCTTTTCTTTGCATATATGCTACTTGCAAATCACTCCATAACATTTTAGCAGCCTTCAGATGTGGCGTTGACTAGACCGTTCAATAAGCCTTCATATGACCAATTACTTGACGGATTTGTTCATGTTCGTTGGCTTGTTAACTCTTTGAAAGGTCCAGTTCAACAATCCAGTTCAAAATTCACCTCGTCATTAATATACCGGGCCCAGGCCTTGTCTCTGAGGCAGAAAAACAACCCCAAGCCATAACATTTCCACCACCATGCTTCGCAATTGGCATGAGGATCTTCTTTGGTCTGCACCACACATGCCAACAACTTTAGAAAAGATTCAGTTATCTAGCAATGTAATTCTAAAAATACATTTTACCTAAAGAACAACCAGAGTTGTCTGCTGACCCTGTAATGGAGCATCAAATCCTGGGTGCCTTCAAAAAAATTAACTTTTACTGTCAACAGATTCTAGCAACTGCAAGGCAGAAACTGCAGAGGTGTTATGGTCCAATATATCCATCAATTTATAACACTAAATGGTGCAGCAAGTCAATGTGTTGTGGCGAGTTTCTGCACGAAGAAGTTGTTAAATGTGGAAATTGTGAAAGGGAGGGTTGAAAATGTAATATTGCACCTGATTCATGCAGAGCCATCCGCTGTGTGGCACAAACAGAACAGGCATATAGGTAGCCGCTTGCTGACAGTGTATTGTTTTCACCCTGCCTTTAAGAATGCAAAACATCTTGGACAAGTTGAAATCCCGGTATCAGAGGTCAAGTTGTGAATGTAATAACTCTAGAACAAGGCCATTTAGGATCTCCAATAAATCTTCACTTTCACAAAAAACAGTTGAATTTGTACAGATTATGGCAACAGTTATTTAATTGTAAATGGTTTAATGGTATGTAGGAGCATATAACTAAAGACTAGGTGCTTCTTTTGAGGAAGAGTTTAACTGGAGGACACTGGTCTTTGTTTCTATCACCTAAAGAGAAGACTGAGTAGAGGATTGAAGAAGCTGCCTTTTCTAAAGCCCTGTTAACACCACAAACTATTACTTGGGGACCTCTAGAAACTGGTGATCTTACATTGCCGGTTCTTATATAGTGCTTTTCTACTCTACTTGGGTACTTAAAGCTCATTATACAACGTCTCATTCACTTATATATTCATACAAGCACTTTTTCTACATTTTAAGTGCCTTCTGTTTAACATAGACTCTCTGTTGACTGCACTGGGGGGAGCTTTGGGGTTCAGGAACTTCACCAAGGATACTTTGGCATGCATACTGGAGCAGCCAGGGATCGAACCACCAACCTCAAGGTTTTCGGATCATATTAGTCTTGGGCGAATCAGGATCTCATGTGTTCTTTTTTCTTTTTGCAATCTTTTTTGGTGCTTTATGCACCATTAGGTTATGGAGTCTACAATGGAAAATATAAAAAGGAAATTTTGGTTGACTTTTGGTTTTGCAAATTCATAGAAAGAACAAGTTAAAATATACTGCAAAAGCAGTCTAAAAAAAGTGCCCCAAATTCCTGACTTTTAACTAATTTAGTTACATTTACATATTCCATGCTATTTTGTTACATAAAAATGTTCGATGTATTGAAATCTATTCAGTGTAGGTTGGATACGTTATTCCTTTGTAGGTAAGGAACCTTTTGCTATCATTTAGGAAACTCAACCATTAATATAACACAAAGTTCAATTTTCCAGAGCTGCACAACAAACACAGATGTAAGAGTTTAATCACATTAAACAACACAGGAATACTAATCTTGTGCAAATAGGGCTTTACTCCCTGGAGTCCTAGGGAATGTCTTTTTGATGAAATGGGCAGAGCGCTTCAGGGAGTATTGCCTTGAAGCGTGCAATCTGAAGATACTGTGTATGTTTCCAAGCAAAATGCAGTTTTATCAAGGCTCACAGCAAAACGGGGTGAAATAGAGGAATATAATTCCTCGAATAATAACAACCAACCAACTTTAATCAAGACCCTGGAATTTAATTTCACGGAGGCCAGCTAAAAAAAAAAAAAAGAGGAAAGAATTAAATCCCTTTTAGCTGTTCATCACTTTTTATCAAGATCATCACTTTACGCAGTGCAGTTTTTTGCCCAATTTTGGTTCCAAAATACAAATGACTGTGCTGCAAAGCGCAGCACATTTTGTCCCGTGAGCCCCCACCAGTGTGTCATTTTCTTATTGCTGTCAACAAATACAAATCAAGCCGTGGAAAAGAGATGTCATGCAGCAATGTTGCGGCACGCTAAGAGAGGCTTGAGATTAAAAGTAAAAGAAATCAGACGTGTTGGACGTGACTTCCGAACAACGGATCCGGTGGAGAAGGTATCGAGCACTGCTTTAGAGTTTTCTCAGCCCTCTGATGTTGTCACTCATTCTTAAATCCTGCCTTCGCGCCCTCTCTCACTCGCACAGTCACACATGCTGTATTCATAATTTGAATTCTCCATCCTGAAGCCTAATCTGCCAACTCAGCACAAAGTGCAATGTGCAGCCTCACAAGCGCACACGCACACACACGTATCCACACACACACAGAAAGAGTGTATCTTTATATCTCCCACTGAGAGTTTTTTTTTTTTAAGTCAAGACATGGTATGATCTGCTTTTTGTTGCTGCTTAGGCTGCTTTCTTCCCCCCCACCCCTTTTGCATTTTGCGTGGGGGTTGGTTTCATCACTGCCGCAGTTCCATCAGAAGGAATACAGATGAAGGCTTTGTCAGGTGTGGAGTGGAGAGACCCTGGCTGCAGGCAAACGGGCAGCACAATAAAAAGTTAAACAGCACAATAGAGGAGAAGGTGGAGAGATGAGGAGGGAGGAACAAAGGAGAGCAGAGAGAGAAAAAAAGAGAAAGTGGAAACATAACAGGTAATGTAAGGTGTGAAGTGTCACTTCAGGAAAAGCAACTTACCCCACAACACCCAGACCAGCACTCCCCAGGCTATAGTTTGTTTTTTCTGAGGTAAGACTAAGAATAGCTGACTGCATTATACTGCAAGATAAAGAAATCAAGTTTGAAGAGGCATCTTTTAGGATTAAAAAAAAGAAGCTTTTATCTCTCCTGTGACAATTTTAGGATATCTAAGCTTCATGTTCATGCTCAACTTTCAGCATGCTTAGGGCACAACAGCCTTCAGCAACTTAGAATTTGAGTAAAAAGAAACTTTAAGTAGAGCATATAGATTAGAGATGTATAGATTTAACGTGCTCGCTTCCAACCCTGTCCCTCCTGGTGACTCCCACTACAAATCTTAGCATCTTTAACTCTGCCACCTCCACTCAAGCTTGTCTTTTTGTCAGTACCACTTCCAAATTCTCTCTCACTCTTTCTGCTATTCGTCTGCCGCAAATCAACCTCGACACTCATCTCCACCCACTCCAACCTGTCTGCACTCTCTTCTTCACCCCTCTTGTGTGTTGTCAATTGCTTTGAACAGTTGAAGCTAGGTATTTAAACTCATCCACTTTCACTACCTCTACTCCTTTTTTCACCATTTCCCCTGCTTCCCTCCCACACGCGCATTCCTCTTTTATCCAGTGCATACCTCCACTTGTCCAGGCTCCCCCTACTCTCACTACAGGTCATGTCAATGCCATCTGCAAACATTAAAGTCTGCAGAGACTCCTACCTGATCTATTAACATGTCCAACACCTCTGCATATAAGAAAGAGCTCTGAGCTGATACCTGCTATAATCCCATCCCCATCTTCAACCTGTCACTCCTACTGCACACCTCACTGCTGTCTAGTTGCCCTCATCTATATTCTGTACCACCCTCACATACCTCTATACCACCTCTGACTTCCTCATGCTCCACCAAAGTTCCCCTTGAGCCATAAAGACAATGCACCTCCTTATGAACTC